TGGCAAATGTATTTAACACAAACTTTGAAAAGATGTGTGGAGCGGGTATTTTCACAAGTGCAAGCTAAGTAATGTTGGTTAAAAAATTAATATATATTTTTGAAAACATAATCTGGTGATATGTAACACTACAAATTATCATGTCCTTCACAAAGGTCATTTGCATACCACTCTCTAGACTTAAACATTCCAAGAAAATAAGAAAGAACCCCAAACTGATAGTATAGTACATTAAAAGTTAATTGTTTGTGACTTTTGGACAAGTTGTCTCACATTGACCATTCAGTTAGAGAACTTTTGATTAATTTTAATGGCATTCTGGGTATTTATAGCCAGACAACGATTAGTTTTTGAATTAAAGGATTTGTTGCCATTTGGGTGCTGGGCTGATATCAACACGCTCCAGAATAAAATCATTGGTTCTTCCTGACTCAGCCCTCCTCATGTTCCTAGAGACAGTGGAGAAATCCTTCTCACCTTCAGCACTCCAGGCAGACAGGAGAGTCACCCTGGGTATGTCCCAGCTAGAAGAGCAGTTCAGTGAAGCATGTTTTCATAAAACTGCCACTAACATCTAAGAAAGCAAGGCTGTTACAGGATCAGTTTCTCCCAGGGAGTTACAGCCAAATCTTCTGGGGAAGAAAAGCAGTTTCACAGTGCATTCTTTCCTGAAGCTGAGCAGGATTGCAATGTGGAGCCTCCTACCTTTTCTTTCTGTGAGAGTGTTTCTTTCCTGCAGCTCTTGGGAGAAAAGGGTGTTTGAGCACGCTTGCCTCAGGGCAGCTCCTGGGCTGTGCCAGTGGGCCACCAAGGAGGGGTGCCAGCCCTGCCACTGTCACACTCAGGGGAGTGTCTGTCACAGCACAGACACTCCACTGGCAGCCACGACCCCATGCAGGGAGCCTAGACATTCTCACCCAAAGCTGTTTGGTGAAAATAGTCTTAAAGATTAAATTGGAGGAGGGGATAGCAAATTATTTAGGGCCAAGAAATAGGTCACAGGAGATTCTGTAAAGTAATGAGAATATTCTGTCTCATATGAAAAGGAAGTGGGGGATCTTCAGCTCTCCTTGGTTGCCTGCTCATTCTCAGACTGTTTGCTGGACCATCTGTTTTGCTCTCTGTTTTGCTGGTAGCTCCTACTAGGGCTCTTTGGCACTTATGAAGTACTTGCAATTCTTCAAACCACAGATGTGAAGCCTTATAAGTACACTACTGCTGTTGTCAGAGGAGAACATTGGGGGTTTTTAATGTGCAAGATCTGTCATGAATAATTTATTGGCAGAGAAATCTGCCTTGAATGATTTTCCTGAATGAAGTAGTACAAGCTCTGTCATTTAGAATATTTAGATGAGTGAAATCCATACATTATCAGTAAGGAACCATGTGATAGGGACAGAACACCGGGGGGGGGGGGGGGGGTTAGAATTAAGTATATAGTTTATTTATTTTTTTTAACAGGTCAGGCCACTCGGTCTTTGAAACTTGCATTTTTATTTCACAATTGTACCCTTTGAAACTTATTCTCAAAGGAGATGCTGCAAAGGTGATACTAGAGTGAATGTAGTGAGCTTAATTTGGGACTTCTGAAAAGACTATAACTTAACAAGGCCCTTTTTTCCCTATCCTATTACTAATTAGGCACAGGTAAAAAGCTGTGTATTACATGAAGATTTTAAGTTTTCTGAATACCTGGAGAGTGGGTTTGTCTCAAACTTATCAGCCAACCAACTCTGCCCAGAACCAATGCTCCCTGGCCTAGGTGTAAAGGTCTCCTTTGTGTACAACAGTTCCTGTCCTAGAGATCTTGTGGTTGAAGTGAAATGCCCAGCCAAATCAGAGGAAGGAAAACTAAAGCAAAAATGTAATGAGACCTGAATCTCTTACCTACCTGCCCAGACCTCTGATCCAACAGCACACAGGGTTCTTTAATGTAAGGCAATTGTTTCTTTCCTTCTGCAAATGAGGCAATTTTCAGTCTTGTGTTCAGGACCTCCTCATTACACAAAGGAGAAGTAAATATCTTTAATTTCCTGAAGCTTTTCAGTGAATGCTGGATGGCAGTAGAATAGTTCAGTTTCTTGGAACTGCTTTCTCATTGTACAGAAATCCTGGTCAAGCATTCATTGTCTGTAAACTATGTTATTGTTAACAATATCTGTAAGAGTAACTTCATAATGGAGCAAGTCTTGAAATAGCAATACAGAGTCCAGATATACATGAAAGGAAATAGGGGAGAAGTGACTGACTCCAAAAGAAACAGGCTTGCTTGTGTACTTTGCCTCCATCTGATTTCATTGTTGTGCCGCTCTCGGAGTGGGGCATGTTGAAAAGGGAAAAGGTACTGGGAGGAAATGGATGGTCAGAATATGTCAAATCCAAACATAAATATATGAATGGAGTATGGAGGTTTAGACTGTGGTCCTTGTACTTACTTTTAAAAGTAACTTGAGCCTTGTCTTTGAAAGAACAGATTGAGACTGCTTAACAAAACCACAAGCACTGCTACTGCAAGTTCTGTACATTTAATCTCTAATTATACAGTTATTAGTGTGCTTTGGAGCACACCATGCTAGAAATAATATTTTGGGAAGAGGTCCTTGTTAGGGAGATAAACATCTCTGTTTACATAAGCTGAAGAGATGAGTGGAAGCATCTTTGTGTGACTGCACTAGGGCTGAGAGTCAGGCTTTGCTATAGACAGGTGAGCTTTAGGTGTCCCAGCGCTGCTGCCACACAGCTCAGACCACTGCCCAGAGGAAAATAGGGATGTGTTTTGCCAGTGGGGTCTGGGCACTTCTTCAGCTTGACAGCACAAGCTGCTGTTCAGCACAGCTCACACCAAAGGTCCTTGGGCCATTGTCAAAGCTGCAGCCTCACAGGGATCAGTTATTGCTGCTGGTGCCATTTTCTCCTGTAACCCTCTGGTAGATTTAAGATATTTAGACATTTTTCATTCAGGAAAATAAACTGATCACCATCTCAGCTGGAGATAAGAAACCAGACAAAAGCAGTTTGCCTGTGCTGTTTTTTGGCCGGTCAGTATTGAGATTAGCCTGCAGTGAAGCAGCACATGTTGTGTGGGGACACTTTCTTTCTGCACAAGAGGCAAAAGCAATGTTACAACCCACAGCATGTTACCGGTGTGTAACGTAAGGAGTGTCTCATGCTCGTGCCTTTGTCACCAGTCAAACACAGCAGCAATAAGCAGCTCTTCTCTCAGCTTCTCTGTGTACTGCAGATGCAAGCATTGCTTCACAGCCTCCAAAGCAAATTCAAAGCCTCCAGCAGCTGGACTGATGGCTGAGGAAATCTGTGAATGTATGATATACAGTGATGCAAGTTGTGCTTATGAAGTCTGACAGCTGGACTTGGACCATGTAAAATGCATTTAAGTTTCTCCATGCTTTATCAGCTTTGATGGGGGAAGTTTTATACTGGCTCAGAAAGTGTCATGCTAAAGCATGGCCTGTTACAATATTAGTGGTAAAGATGAGGGCTATCCCATGACTTATTACAAAACCAAGCTCTTTTAGAAGAAAGTTTTAATAAGAAAAAATCAACTGACACTTGATTATGGGTTTTCTACAAATTAGAGCATTCATAATTATGCTGCCCTCAGAAGTTTGTGTTTGCTCTGAAATAACATGTTAAGTGGCTGGTGATGCTGGTCTGATGTGGAGTCCTTGTACTTATCTAGGGGCTGTGTCCAGTCTTGTGTTACCTGTTCCCACTAAATAACTTATTCCACAAACCTTCAACAATGTGCTTGCTGAGTTGTGAACAATAAATCACTGAACTGTAGTGTGTGTAGCTTTAAGATAGTGTTTTTGTGACCATTTGCTTTCAAATGTACTGGTTTGAGCATCTCTACTATTAAAATTCTTAATTACTTCTTTTTATTAAGCTTTCTGTGGGCACTTAAACAGTCTCTATGATACTACTGATGGATGATTCATGTTAAATTAACTTTTCAGCTCTTGTAGGTAGGAATCTATAGAAATTACATTTAGAACAAAAAAGGCTTTTTTGGGTTTATACAATGTGGCTTGGTGTTGTGTTGGTTTTGTTCACTATAGTAGGTGCCCCAGCAAGATCAATCTTCAGAGTTTGTGCTGGAACTGAGAAAGTTTTCAAAAACAATTCTAAGAATTTTTTCTTGCGAAATCAAAAGCAGATATATATCTGTCTCTATATTGCTTTTCTATTCATATGCTGCAAAAGACTTAACTCCTATTTTAAGGAATGACTGCCTATTCTAATTATAGCCCAAATGTTGCATGTTTCTACTGAGTTTATGGATAAATCCTATATTTAAATGTCAGGAAATAGATGTGGATAATAGCGGATCCATTAGAGTGTTCCCTCATTATACCATTCTAAATAAGAATGATGCTTTCATACAGAACCTTGGGAGATACTAACACAAAAGTGTATTTTGGTTCCCTGTCTGGAGCTGGAGAAAGCAAAACAATATCAGTAGTTATCTGGTAACTGTGACATGCATGCATTGTATTTTCCCAGGCTGGCTTCACTAGAGTTAGTCTGTCTGGCAAAAAAAGAAAAGGGAAATGGAGTTTCATACAGTATTACATTGAAGTGATGGCCATAGTATCTGGTTGTTACGATGTAATTATTTAAAGAATACTTCAAGGGCCTTATTTTGGACTTCTTGTAATTATATAATTCAGATTTTTGAGCTCAACTAACAAAAGCCCCCAGGTCTCAGTGAACTCAGTGTAGCCAGCAGCTGGGATTGAAGCAGGCTGGGCCCATCCTGGGTGCAGAGGCGCTGGTTCCATGCACGGCTGCAAGGCTGTGTGCAACATCCTCCCACAGACAGAGCCTCACTGTGAGATTTTACACAGTTCGAGATCTTTCAGAAAAGAAAGCTCCATTCAGTTTTCACTACTACAAAGGTGATGATTCTTGGAACACAGAAATTAAATTAAACTGAGAGAATAAATTAAAAAAAAGATAGAAAATTAAAAACTACTCCATTCCATGTTCATGACAATTTTAATACTCATCTTGCTAAGATGCAGAACAAGGACTATTGAACTTCCATCCATTAGCAGCCAACAGGATATGAATGAGTATTAACTTCAAACAAAAACTTGATTTATAACATTGAGTTGTGCACTTAAAAAAATAATTACAAAACATTTTTAAAAGGAAGAGTAACAGTGGAAGCAGTAATGAATATAAAACATGACTGATTAGGCTTAAAACACAACTTCAAGTATTCTATGTCATTTCCTCAGACATTTGTCTCATCTGTTTGTGCAATACCCATCTTTGCATAGTAAAGAAAAATTGGTTAGACTCCAGCCTTAAGTAATCTGTTTCTTGACCATGCACCTATACAGCTGTTTAATTTGCCTGGCAGACTTCTCTTTTAGAGTATCAGATCAAATCAGTGAGCTCATGCAGCAGACTGGAATGAGCTATACAGTTACCAGTTTCTTGTCCAGCTGAATAGGTAAATAATGGGGCAAATGTAGAGTGGATGAAATGGAGGCAGAGTCAACCTGGTCTTCTTTTGGTGACGCTTTGCAATGAACAAGTTACTGCTAAATGGATATGCACTTCCCAAAGCACAGCCAGGGGGATGGGCAAAACCAACACCTATCAAATCCAGGTTTTTAACTGTCTACCAGCACAGGAAGCACTTCAGCCTGTACCTGCTCTGAGCTGTATTGCCACTTGTGTGCACACAGGGCAGAAAGTGTGATCTTCCCATACACACAATGGCTGAGGTCTGGAGCATAAATTCAGTCAAGAAATCCAAATTGCTATGAAACTGCTGGTGTAAATAAAAAAGTTACTCCAGCACTGAACATATATACATAGTAGTTGGGGACCACTGTGGTCTGATTTAAAACATCACATCACACACTAACAATGTTGTTTGTGAAATGCTTCTCCAAGGTTTATTACACAGGTAGTTTATGTATATCCAGTTGACTTTACTTATTGTAAATTTTGATACCACTGGTGTTTCTCTTGTGGGTTGTGCTTGCTTTGAAAGCAGAACCTGAAAAAAGTTAAGACATTGTGTTCCCAATCACAGAATTTTTAGAGAAACATAATGCAGTTGCAAGTATTTTTGGTTTGTCATCAGAGAAATTTCACTATTTTAAATCTGCTTAAAGCCAAGCAGGAATTTTTCAGAATAAGATTTATAATTTCTATTAATGTCAACTACCTGTGTGCAGCACCTTTAACTTATAATGTAGTAAGTGTAAATGTGATTATGTTAAAGCTGATTGAAAATATTTAATAATAACTGTGAATCAAAACCAATATATTGAGACTGTTAAACTGAACATTATCATAATAAGAAAAAAACTGAAATTAGGTTTTCTAATTCACAGGAAAATGTCTGCAGCATTTTTTTAATGTTTTGGCTCTTAAAGCTAACTTGGGAAATGGATTTCCTCTGAACAAAGATGCAGGAAGTAGTGTAACTGGGCTTCTGTTGCTACTAAACTATAATTTTTAAATTAGATCCAAAAGTCTTTAATTCTGATTATCAGACACAGCAATTAAATTTTCAGTTACTTATCAAATGATGTAAGTTTTAAGTCAAGATTAAAAGGATGAGCCAGACTGTCCAGCTCTTTACTTTAAGGGAACCCTAAACTAGACCTCTTCACAAACTTTTCTCAAGGCAGCTGCAGGCACCTGAGCCTGGTTCCTAAGGACACAGGACTGCTGCTGACTTTTTACAGGACTACTCTGTAAAAATCTGTGTTCATGCAGAAGGTGTCTCTAAAAGTAATGACAACACACCTGAAATTACTTGGGATTTTGCACATATTGTGATGGTAACTGGCTATCAGTAGCCAAGGGTCAAAGTATTAATCTTGCATTAAACTTTGTAAAGTGACATGCATCAAAGAGATACAGGGAGTGAGTTAAAAAGGTCAGTCACCTTTGCAAGCTGCTTTGAGTTGATGGGCAGAAGGCAAGAGAAGAATAGTTCATTCCAAGTTTAACATCTTTTAAGTATTTTAAGGCTTATTTAGATTTTTATTTTACAGGATCTAGGCAGGAAAAAAAAAGTAGCTTTTCTTAAAAGGAAAAAAAGAGCTTGGCACTTCTGTGATTAGTTTGAGAGTGTGTTACTTATATAATGGAAAAGTCTGTATAACAGCCAAAGAAGTAATTCAGACTTATAGTCAATACATAGATATGCATTTATACATTTTAATTGTTTTTGGTTTCAAGCATACAAACTTTAGATCACATCTGTTTGGTGTCAGAACTCCCTGCATCTGCATGCTGTTATCTGCCTTTTTTGAGCAAGCCCAGAACATCTGCTGTACAACATGCTACAGAAAAAAAGGGGAGGAAAAAAACCCAAAACCAAACCCAACATCAAAAATAGATTTACATAAAGAATAGAACCTTTTTATATGGAAATTCTTTTCTCTCATATATATATATATTTATATATAATCTGTGAAAATGATACATCAAAATCTTATTTCCATATTTACACTTTTTATTTCTTGGAAGAATTCCATCCAACATTCACTAGCTTCCATACCCAAGAGGCTCCTGTCCAAGGTGGACAGTGAGCTCATGGAGCAGGGAACCCTCAAGTCCAGCAGCAGAATGCACTGCATGGCTGGAAAAGCTGCTGAAGCCTGGCACTGGCTTCCCAGTGGTTTGTATTTATTGGGCTGCAGATTCTGCTTGGGGTCAGCTTGCTAACTTGGTTGTTTGTATGTGAGCCATGCAGGTTACCCTTTCAAAATTAGCTCCTCATGCCACTGGAGTTTGATAAGAAAAAGGAAGTCATGCGAACTCAAGTGAAGTTAGAGTGCCAGCAGGCTGGGAAAGAATCTTTTGTAATTCCATTATTTTGGAACAGTTCTCTTATTGCATTTGATCTGTGTGTCTCCTTCATAATTTGAGAAAAAGAAAAAAACACCTGATTTTTTGAAGCAGTTTGCTTGTACCACTTGTCAGTTAATGTTAACAAGAGAAAGGTGAATAGAGGAAGTATTTCCAATTTATCTCAACATCCCAACTTTGTGTTTATAGTTACTGTTCTCATGTTCTTCCGTACTGATTTAGTTCCTGTGTAGCTACAGCAAAGACATCATACCCAAAATCCAGTAGTGCAAGAAGCAGCTTTTTGAATGGCATTTCTTCAGATAGGGCCTTGTTGAGTTGGATCGAACCTTCGTTTTTTGACATTTCTTCCAGTTGCATCAAAATGAGATGGAAAGAGAAAAAAAGCAAGACATTAGTTAGGTATAACAAGAACAAAGCCATTGCTAAGGTCATAGTAAAGTAAAAGGCTCACACTGACAGTTTAACCGGTAACTTTTACAAGGGGTAACTATTTAAGGAATTTGGTTACATGCTTTGTACAGCATGATACCAAGTATTGGTTTCCTAATGCAGCTTAAAGATCATGCTGGCATACAGAAATCAATTATTTCTGTAGTATTTCAAGTGGTGCTCTAAATTTGTAGAACTTTTCAGCTCCCAGTAAAACCTGTGTGCAGTAGGCCAAGAATGAACATATTTACCTAAAGAGAATGAATCACAAGTGCCAGGAATGGCAACACTTCAGCCTGCAGAGGCTTGAGTTCTCAGAGCAAGGGCCCAGCTCTGGCTACACCAGAATTTAGTTTATGTAATCTAGTGTGACAAAAGTGTGTGTGCCTTTGTGAGCTCTTACCACACTATTGACCATAAGTGCTGTGAGTCTTAGTAAGGTGCAAAAGACAGCTGAGACATTGCATTCGAAGGAGACTGGACAGCTTTGCAGTTGTGTGATTAGAACGGAATGTTAACAGTGGGCAGCAAGCTGGTAACATCCAATCTCCTGCGATGGTGATGTCCTATGTCAAACAGCAAGACATTAGGAAGCAACAACAAAAGTTGGGTGCAACCTCCCCAGTATCTGGCTTTATGTGGGGCATCAAGCAAGGGGCTCATGCATTTAGTTTTACCATTGGGCATACACACCACTACCACCACCAAACCAACATGCAAAAAATACAGAACAGGAATTCATATATTCCCTAAAGCTACAGACCAAACCCTGGATTTTCAATCTTCTGCAGCCCTGCTAACTTCTGCCACTGCTACAATATTTATTCTATACGTAAGGTTTAACTGGTGGTTTGAGACTATTGCAAAGGCAACTTCTTTTTGAGAGGACTTCCAGAGGCTGGTAATTCTTGGGCATCCTTGATTTTGTTTTTTTCCTTGGATACCTGTGATTGGATTTGTACAAGATGAATGCTTAAGAACTGCTAGTTTCTGAAAGAAGATTACTGTATTCATCTTTCAGTCTTTTCCCCTCCAGGATTACTGTACTAATGCTCCTTTGAAACGAGGCTGATGTTACATCAGTATCTCAATTCCTTGTCCTCTAAACTACAGGTAAATTTGAGATGAGGAAAATAATTTTCAGGCCAACTTGCAAAACTAACAAATAGGAAGTATGAATATTACAGAACTTGGTTAAATATGAGTTAAAGGCTGCTGTGTATCTGCTTGTCCTGCCAGTTTCAATGGGAAAAGGACATGTCTGCTTCTCTTCCCCCCACCTCCTCCTTTTAAATACTGTCTAGCATCCTTGAATTCAAGTACTACTGACAAACAACTAATTAGTCCATCCTTTTAAATCAACAATGCAGATGAAAAATCCAGGTGACATAACTTGTCCTTCCACTATATGGGAAGTACCATATTCCCATTTGCTTGAAGAGAACCAATTCTTAAAACAGACACTGAATTACATTGTTATCTGAGCTTATTTAAATTAAAGAAATGGACTTTATAAAGTCTTAGAACATGCTTCAGAGGACAGATACTATGCTAGCTTCCCAGTACAATCTAACAAAACTCTTTTATCTTATCTGTTCTGGTCTAACCTGATCTTCACTAGTCTAGTGTTCTAGTACAAACCCCATAATGCATTCTGTCCAAACCATAAATTTACTTATTTTCTAGTTTTATTCAGCAGAAATAAAGCCTTTGAGGAACAAGATATGACCAAACCACTGCCTTTCTTCACTTAGGATATTCTGCTAACAATGTTGTATGAGGGAGAGAAACATGTGAAGAACTAAAATAAGAGCCTGAAATAGGGAACATGGGGTACAGTGTCAATAAGGAAACAGTACACACATGCAAAGCTTTAACAAGAGCTGCCATCATAGCACTTCAGAGGTGAGCAGGAAGGTGTTACCCTGCAGGAATTTAAATTCTCTTCTGATTACCTGACCTACTTTAACAACTTCATCCTGAATTACCATTTTTTAATAAAAAAATGAAGACAATTAGTAGTCTAACTTAAACTGGCAAAGAGATCAAGTCTCCCTCTTCCCAAGAAAAATATAATAAAGGAGAGTAGATGAGTAGCAGGTTCTGGATATTTCCACCATTTATAGTTTTGAGTTATAGCAGTACAAGGTTCCCTCTGCTATGCTTCAGTTAAATGGTAAGGGGGCAGAAGTGTCCTCTAGGGAAGAACACACATGAGAATGATGCTACTTCCTAGTCCTTTGCTGGTTTATGTGGAAGATCTTAGAACATCTATGTCTTTGCATTTCAAGTTTTAATGCCTCTTTAAATAATGAGAGTCAGCCTTTGTCTGTAATCCAACCAGAAAAAGGATGATTAACAAAATGAAAAGTATAGGTTATTTTTAGTCAAAAAGCACTCCATGCTACAGCACACCACTGCCTAACATGGTCATGTTTAGAAAAAAAAAAAAATTGTAAAAATGTTAAAAAGGTTTCAAAATGTTTCAAAAAGGGCTGGTTGTATTCAAGAAATACCTTCCTGCAATCTGCTGCATTCTTTTGTGCAACTAACCAGGACCATGGTCGAAGAGTACGTTACTTGCAAATGTGTCCCTGTATGTGATCATGTAAGTACAAAGCTTTATTGAAGACTTTATTCAAACCCAGTATTTTAATCACTTCAACTAGCTAATGTTTTCATAGACATTCCTAAAGCATGGTTCAAATGCTGAAGAAGACCTTAAATTAACTTTTGCTACAAAACTGATTAAAATTAACAAAACGAGGGACTAAAAAAAGTAACTTAAAATAAGACACTGACCTCCCATTTATTCACGTAGTTTGGGGGAAAAAATGAGAAAATACCTCATGTTTGATTCTAGCTGCTCTTTGTGCAATGATGACTGGATTTTGGTTCACAATTCATGCTTGGTGGAAATGCTGGTAAGGGACCAAAACCTCCTTCCTCAAGGAATCTCCACCAACATTCCACTGCTTTAACTTGTGGAAACCTTTGGGGTCTAAACACAACTGCTCAGACCAGTTCAACCTCAGCATCTGTTATAGCTGGGTAGGTCTTTGGTTCCTCCATTAATCTTCTATTAAAGAAACAAAAAACCTTGCAGCTCTTTAGGCAAGCACACTTGCTGGAAGTAGAATTGTGCCTACAATCAATTATCTATCTGCCACTTTTGTATTCTGCTATAACAAGCAGCAGCTTTGCATGTACATTTCCACATCACTCTTCTTAATATTTACCTCTTAGCAGTGTTTATTACCAAAATTGCTGTTAAAGTCAGTAACAAAAGCATTAATTGACTTATATTACTACAGTAGCTTAGCAGAAATGAGTGAATATATGCTAGGGAAAAAAGTGTAGGCCCCTGAGCTACTCTAATGGTAAAAATGTCCTTTCTATGTTAACACTGTATACTGAAACCTTGCACAGACTTGTTACGCCAAAATCAAGTTCTTACTGCTGTACTTAAACAGATTTAAAAGTACTATGCAAGGCTCAGTTGAGTAAAATCTACTTCTTAACAAGGTTTCTACCTATAGCCTTTAAGCCACCTCAAATGCCTAATGAGATTCTATATTCTGTAAAATTGTCAGTTAACTTTTTATTTCCTATTCTGTCCACACATTAACTTGATTTAATATTAACCTTAGATTCTTGAAACTGGAAGTTGTTTGGTGAGCTGTTTTTACTTTTTTTTTCTCTGATCTTGCATCAAGGTTTCTTTAACACTTCCCTCCAACCCCCACCCCCACCTCAGTTCATGAACAAAGTTTGCTTAGTTGCAGCTTACGTTTGATATGGACTTGACACCACAGTACCGTATGTTCATATGAACATCTGATAACCTGTGAAACAGAAATCACATCTCCCAGTTTGTAAAGCATTAGCTACCTTCTCTCATAGTTGCAGAGACTAAATATATCACTTGCTTAAAAAAAGGAAAAGTTAAAATCCCTTTATTATCCTCATCTGTCCCTCCAGATCTATCTGAAGCCAAGTATTGGGGTCTACATGTGCTAGCCTTCTTTGTGTACAAGCTGAAAAGCCTCTTCTGTTCCCCTCTGGCCCCCAGAAGAAACATGCACTTCAAGCTGTGAGCTAGGCCAGGCCAGTGTATTTGAGGTTCTGCTACAGAATAAACAGTTGTATCTTGCTCTTGTGAGAATCAGAGCTTCAAGAGGCATTTCCAGTGCAGATCCTCTATAGGCATAACAAGCTTCTACCTTTGGGCAAACAAATGACACCAGGGTGCAAAGCTGATCACTTGTGAGAGAGCAGTTTGAGAAGTGTGAAACACAAAGAATAAATAATCAAATACATCCTGTATTGTTTTAGACAGGGAGGCATTGTCCTACTCCTCGCTTTCATGCAAGTTCTCAGCCTCTGTGTCTGTTGGAGGCAGGGGCTGCAGTGCTGATGGCAAAGGACACAAAGCAGCTTAAAAAGACTCAGAGGAAGAACTGACAAATTATTTTATATTTTCATGACATGTATTTTGTTTTCAGCAAACTACCTTGTGCAATACAAGTCTATCATCTAGGGATGCACACCCTGTTTCTGCAAAGTCTATGAATTGCTAAGTAATGGACAAATGTCTTTTACCATAGAAAACTCATCCAAAAGGATAAGCCAACTTTTTTTTTCCCAACAGAATCTAGCTTGGTTCATTCCCATGGGCACCCTCCAAACAAGCACTGAGAGAAAAATGAATGTGGCTGAGTCTTTCAGAGAACAGCAACAGTGACAGGCAGTGTAATTGGGAGTAATTGCCTTGTCCAGGAGAAAGGGCAAAGCCTGATTTGCTGCTTTCAGCAGGCCTGAAAGAGATTTTGAAATATTTTCTTTCTATATGCATAGTTAATTAAGGCCAGCTGAAACTTCAAAAATATGAGTATAAACCAGAAGTAAAACACTTTCAGGTGACCTTTGAAAGTGAATTACAAGATAAATATGACCTTATCACTACATTCTACTTTCATGACTGCCTTAATCAATTAAGGAATAATTTTTTCTTCTCCACTTTGACATGAAATAGGAATAGAGGCCATAGAAAATTTTCTTTGAATTAGTATTATTACTACTACTATTTATTCTCCTTGAAGAATTATGGCTTATTGTTGTAACATGGCTTAACCTTGATTCATGTTATTGAAAAGAAACAGCAACTTTAAATGGCATGAGAAATCACTTTTACTTAATTACTTCCATGATCTGTTAGGTTATAAACACTGCTTCTAAAGGGAGAACTTTTTTACCAAATACAGACCATGCATGTGGGCAGAATGGACACTACAAAAAGGGTAGGAATTAAGTGCCTTTGTCCAAGACTGTTTGTTTTAACAGAGTAGTCAAGTGGAATGACTAATCGGTTAGTCCTTATAGTTACAAAATACATCAAACTAGAACTGGGAAATGCTTTCATCTTTCAGGGGACAGCTCAAGATTTCAAAATGGTCTCTCTAAACCTGAATTTGTTTTTTACATTTTGTATCAATAAAAAAAAAGAAAAATCAGTAACCACAAACAAGTTAGGTCTGTTATTCCAGAGTCAACTATGTCAAACATTTGTTCCCAAAAACTACTCTGCTGCTTCCACCACTGACCATTTACATGACATCTCTTCTTATCAACAAGTTGAGCAGTTTGAAAGTACTACTACATTAAAAATAAAACATGTATCTTTTGGGGGATTTTTAACCAATGTAATCAGCTTCAATTTATGGACCGGAAGTGAAAAAAGACCTTGTTCCTTAAGTGTTAATTTAATTTTCATGTATTCACCTAATTCTTTTATTGTTATTCATCTTTGCACCCTGATAACATTTGCTATTTTCAAATCCATTTCCTTGGCTTGTTTACTGCATGTGTAATTTCTTTTCTTGTTTAAAGCAGTCAGAGTCAGGGGGGTTAACTTGGAACTCTTGTAGCAGGAACTCAAAATTTAGTGATGTAAGCAAGAAATAGAAATGCCAGAGCCACCGAAGAGAAGACATGCGGCATTGCTTACTTAAAGCCCCATCCTGTCCCCCCAAGGACAATAGCTGCTACCAGGATGGCACCAGCGATGGAGCCTATTATAAGATTGGTGGCACTAGGACCTGTGGTAAAGGATTAGGGTAAGACAGACATAAGAACCAACGACTTCATTCACATTATGGGAAGCATCTGAAGGGTAGTCAAACAATTCAGGGAATACAGACAGCACACAAGGTGATGCCTCTAGACAGTCTCAACCAGCCCAGCTTAACTTACTTTTCTTTAACAATAGGAACAAAGGAACAAACAATGCTGTTGGTCTCTGCATTGTGCTATGCTGACTTCTACCATAGATAAAAACCTAGTATTAGACAGTGAATTCCATTGTTACTTATTCCATTATCTTCTTCATGAACTGTCAGCTGAGGACACTAAGATAGTTGTGAATAATTCCTTAACTTAGAGGGAAAAGGATGAATGCTGCATGTTTTAAGACTACAGAAAATGAGAAAGAAATAAAAAATCAAGAAGACCTCTCTTTTTTCATGGAGCTCCTGAAAGGTGTAGATATTTTAATTTGAGCTGAGAGCGTCTAGCACCACTTACTTATTAGAGTCCAGACACCCTACAGTTACATCAATGCTAAATTTACAATTGTTTGACAAAAGCAAAGGATTATATAAAAAGGAATGAAAGTTGAAATAAAAGTTTATTTCCACTAAGCTTTCCAAAACATCAAAGCATCTCTTCATTATCCTCAAGAAGCTACTGAACAACAACGTTGGGAAGGGTGGAGCAGAAAAAAAGAGCAATAAAAAGAAGCAGCACAAAATATGTTCGTGCTATTTTCTGAAGAGGACAAGAGAACACCTAAATAAGATATTAATAATTGACCCTTAAGTGCTGTGTTTACATAGGACAGAGGAAACTGACAATAGGCTTGAGTAACATTCGCTCTGTACAAAAACTCCCTATTGCAGTCTTTGATGTAAAAAATTGCAAAATGAAAGCAACTCAACAGTTCTTCTGCAGCATATCACACACTTTTTGTTTAACCATTTACATATTCAGGAATAGCCTTCAAAAACAGCTCTTACCCCTATTCCACTCTTCTCAAACCAAAACTTCTACATAGCAATTGAAATTTTCCTAATTAATTGTTCTGAGCTGAGTTTGGAAAAACTGTCACACAGCTAATATAAGGAAGAAAGAGGAGCAGCCAGAGAGCAGCAAAGAAAGAGCAAGGGCAGCTGCAACAACTGAAAGTTTTAAGCTGATAGGTCAGTATTATAAAACCTCCTGCCCCACCCCACACATTGCAATAAGCATTTGTCCTAGAAGTTTTAAAAGTTACTGCAGCCACTTTATTGTCTCCACTACATGTTTCTCACCTCAGTGCTTCTGGAGATTCTGATTAGCTAAAAGAAAACCAAGTTTTAAAACTTGCTTCCTGCAGTTCCTACACAAAGTATACAGGAATATGAATAAAATAGTTGGACTGAAAAAAATATAATTAGCTTTACAGATGAACAGTGCATGAATTTGACAACAAAAATCAAAAGGTAATTCTGCACAATTTGGAAGAATGTATCTTACTTGAACTTGCCTTTAAGTCACACCTGACTTAACAGGCTTGAGCATGGTGGAGGGTAAGTGCCATCCTGCAGGCATTGTTGCTCCAATTAAGAACAACTCTGTTACTTGCTTGTAACAGCAGCCTAATGAGCCACCATATTTGACTGAGATCTACAGTTTGCTCTGGATTTCATCAAATGATCTCACAGAACAAAAGACTGAAAACACACCAAGTGATTTATCTGTACTAAATTTGCCTTGAAAATCTATAATAAATAAGGCTTGAAAATTCTTTCTAGCCATAGAATGCCATCTTCTCACAAAAGAGGTACAATGATTAATTGTTAGTAACAGTCATAAATTAGATAAAGATGTGCCAAATCAACTCTTTTACATCCCACCTCTCACTATGTTCCGTGGTTGTTAAATGCCCAGGGATGTGTATCCATTTCATAGTGCACATCTAATACCCAAACATCAGTTTATTCTTTAAATAAAGAAAATCACTATTAGTTTTGCTTACTATAAATATCAAATAATTCAATCAATTTAAACAGAAGATGGTAGTATACAAAACAATTAGGTTCAGGTAGAAAAGTATAAATATTTTTAAAAAAATCAAGCCTGTAGAATAGGTAATATGACTAAACAACAACCATTTATTTATGAGACTGGAGTACTCCAACTGTTGAATCCCAGTTTCAAAATACAGAGATCTAAGAGGATCACTGATGAGTCATTTTAAGAGAGACTGTGCACATAAAAGTACTTAAAATGAGATTACTTTTATGTGTTATACCTTACTGTAAGGATCTATGCCTTATGTTTTATTAAGCATTACAAAATAAATTGTATTATTAATAAACCATAATTTTGCTATCAGTAAAGGGATGTTTTTGAAGAAAAATAAAAATCCCTATGTTTCAGCTCTCTAGTCACTGAACTCAAGATACTCGACAAACCAGAAGTAAGAGGAAGGTCTTAATAACCACCATACTGTGGGATCATTTTCCATCCAGACTATCACAAGAAGGAACACTTTGGTACATTTGTTCTTTCCACCACACTACTGCTATAACCTGCAGACACAGATTTATCAGGAGGAATCTCCTGGAGATAACTGCCTGGCACACCTCCTTTTCCTGCAAGGACACTGCTCTGGCATGGCTATTGTACCATCCCTGGCCATCTTTTAAGACCCTGATACAAATCCTACTGAAGGTGTTAAAGCAGAACACACCTTTAACTCCAGTAGACCTCATACTATTCCTAAAACCTTCATCATCATCCAATAGATTCTACAAGAACTAATACACAACATTTGAAACTCTGGCAGTATTAGAAAAGATAATTTTACTGCAGACTGCAGTCCTTCAGGTAACAACAACTCTGGTGATCTGATGTCTTTTCTTGCCTGTTGCTTTGCCAGCTAAATCCTCTGGTTTAAGTTATCAAACCTAAGTATCCATTTTGGTACGAAATCTGGAAAAAAAAAAACTACTGGACAGTTTTGTCCTCCATGATTGTTGAAATAAGTTCATAAATCATTAAGTAATTAAAGTTATTTCAGCACTTTGAACAAGCATTTACAATTTGCAAGTGAAGTGGTGAGAAATGAAGAAGAAGGACAGGTCCTGGCATCAGGCTGTGATGCTCACACCCTCCCCCGCAGCCATGCAGGGGCATGAGGAACAGAGAGGGAATTTGCATTCCCTGCGTGATTCTACAAACCAACAAAAAGTAGCACTGGCTTGCCTTGAATGCACATTTGTATCTGAAGAAACCAGAGGACAGAGAAATATTGATGAGATGCAGGAAAAAAGAATGAATAGAAACAAAAAGAATGAGTCAGGTAGTAAGTAATAAAAGCAGAGGAGGGATGAAGAAAAGCTGGCGTTGGTATAGAAGGATGCAGGAGCAGGAACAAATAGTCAGGGACACTGGTCAGAGCTGAGTGACTTGAGACAGCAGGTGAGGGAAGAGACAAACAGAAGAGAACAAGGCAGAATGTAAGTAAAAGGCAAGTGGTCCTCAACTTGTAGGTAAATCTTCTGCTCCAGAATCTGTCCCCCAAACCTCTACAACTTTCACAGTTCTCAGTTTTTAGCAAAGAGTTGTAAAAGCTACCAGTAGAACACAGAGCTGATCTTTCTCAAGGAACCGACCAACTACCTCCTTCCATTTGTTTTCTAACAATTGTCCTCTGTGAACACAAAGGTCTACTCGTCTGAGAATCTTGGATCCATTCCATGTATGGACAGGTTCCTCGGGCTGCAGACTTACACATGAAGCGCTGCCTCACTGACTAGAACTGTGTGTGAATGAATGCCTTTGCACTCAGCCTGACTGGAAATCACAGACTGTCCTGCTAATGAGTCCCCCTTCAGAGAGGTGCCACTGTCACATGCCAGATGTCATATATAGTACTAGAAACATGGAGAAGCTGGAAATCTCAGAGCAGCAAAATAGCAGTCTTACCATCTGTAGTTTGCACAGTGAATGCAGAATGAAGATGGCTTTTACATGGGCCTTTTTATGTGTATATATACATGAACACAAATTTATATAAATTATAGCCATTGTTAAAATTGAGGTACTGGGGCAACACTAGGGATTACCATATCCTAGAGCTGAAAAGACAATAAAAATTGCTCATATGTATTCTTTATACATGAATACTACACTCCAGCACTGTGCTATCTTGAGGTAACAGAATCCTAGCAACAGAACCTTCAGAAGCTTTACTGTAAAACTACCTGTCTGTATGACTATCAGCAGCTTTCATCTGCCTAGCTTGATCATTAGACTGAAAGCCCTGTATGTAATAAAACGGAAAACGGTTCACATTACTCAGTCTATTTCACAAAATAATCCAGAAGTCCCTTCCTTTTTCCTCCTTTTTTTTTTTTTTTTTTTTTTTTGTTTTTTTGTTGTATTTTAAACTTTTAGATTTTTAATTTTTTGTTGACAATATAAATATAAAAATTCACAAACTTATTTTTTTTATGCCCCACATTATCCCAGACAGGAGAAGGTTCAACACTGCATGAGCAAACCACANTTTTTTTTTTTTTTTTTTTTGGTACTTTGGTGTAATGGAAACATTTAGACATTTAATTTTATGGTGACAATATAAATATAAAAATTCACAAACTTATTTTTTTTATGCCCCACATTATCCCAGACAGGAGAAGGTTCAACACTGCATGAGCAAACCACATGACACAGACACAGTCAAATCACATGACAAATACGGTCACCACAGGACAAAGCTAAGGGGAACACAGAGGCTCAGGTGCATACGGTTACCTCACACACTAAGGCACCAGACAGAGAACTCAAACTGAGAAAAGTGCTTACTCTATTCCCCACCCTGTGCCTCCAAAAATCACCCCCAAGGCCAGAATGGTCCCTGCCACTGCACCTATTAGCCTGTTAGCGGCCATGCTCACTGTGTGGAGGGAAAAGGGAAGAATTTTTCAGGAAATCATCACATATATGTCTGAAATGAAAACATAAAACAATTCCTCAGAGGGATACTTTATAATATAATCCACTGTTGGATAAACAATTCAAATCTCATCACAAACCTTTGTTTACCAAATAGCGCAGCTTTAAAAATTCTGAAATGAGCTCTATTTGGTTTTCTTTTGAGTGCTTGCAAATATTTCAATGAGAAGTTTTCCTGGGAATTCCTTTCAGCTTGTGATTCTATTATTTACTCTAAAAGGGAACATCCTCAACCTACTGCTTATTTAAACCAGCCAAAATGTAAATAAACTGCCAATAAAAAAACTTTGGCTTTGATTACCAGAAACTTACTGTATCCATAATATAATTAAGAAAATGAAAACTGTTTGGAGACAATTCCACCTCAGGAAAAAACAAAAAACCCCAACTTTTAAAGTAATTCCTTTACTAATTAGTAATATTTTTCTTTGCTACAGCATTTATCAATAGGACTTTCTGTTCATCTATAAGACCTAAAACAGGTAACACCTTTTAAAAGCAAAAACCTACCCTAGAAACATGCTTCAGGTAACACCCTAGAAATTTTGATATGGTCAGATAGTCTCTCAACACATCAAGGCCTTATTTTTAATCCTTAAGGGAACTCTTTTCAGGAAAAAATGCTGTACATCTCCTATGTTAGAGATTAAAAGTTTGATAAACTCATGGAGTCACAACAGACTGCAAGCAAGGAGATGAATTCCCTGTCAAATGGGAACTTAGGAACAAAGATTTTATAGACTCCATGCTGAGTGAAGTGTGTTTTAAAATATTTTGGGTTTTTTTATTCTGTTTCATAAATATACACACACAAACACACACACACACACTTGAGACGTAAGTTCTATATTAAAATAAACAAATATTACTCCACTAGTCAAATAAAGGCCTAATTCTGCAAATTCAATTGCAAACAAGAATCTCATGTGTATATGGAGTCCCACTGATTTCAAAACTGCTAACCCACACTCTAAAGTAATTCAAAGTTTCTGCAGTAACTAAAACCTAACAGCAAGGACCCTTTGTCTTCCCCAGAATGCTAAATGCTGTGTATGTCTGCTAGTACAGGATACAGTAGGTCGCTGAGTTTAGGGTAATTTGAGAGTCATGTAATAATAGCAACATAATTAAGGACCACAATTTTTTTTATCCTGATATAAAGAATGGAGCCAAAAAGCAATTGAGGGATGATGGAAAAATCTGAAAACTGCAGCAGAATAGCAGTAAATTGTCAATTATCACAACAATACATAAATAAATAGCAACACTCCCTAACTCTACATGTTCTAATTGTACCAACAAAAATGCTTGGAGTTTTGGTGTGAAAAATATTAAACCTATTAGATGAATTTTCACATCATGAGTGTTTCACTTCATTCAACTTTATGGCTAAGGAAAAACAACCATTTTGGTTTCTGTCTTAGACTCGTAAACTGGCATATGACATAGGGAGTAATAAGGAAAAAAACGTAATGGAAGCTACTCTTGTGTACGTTGGTTCATTACAACAGAGGAAACTACCACTGTACTCTTCTGAAATCTTCTCACAAAGGAATTCCTCTATAAGCACATAGAAGGAGATCATAATGTTCAGTCTCTTAAATTCATTTCTAGGTGATTCAAGTAAATTACTGTAACAGTAAATCAGTAAATTACTGTAAAACCGTAAGAAAAATAATCCATCTTTTGAGATCATTGAGCTGCCTTGAACAAAAGCAGTCCGCCATTTTGCAGAGGACTCCACTGAAAAATGCAGTCTAAACTTTGCCTGTACCTGTTGGCAAAAATCCATGCACATACTATCCAATTAAGGCTTTTTTCCCAGTATATTTCCACATTTATATATTATTTTTCACTAAGGTATCTCCATTCTGAAGTTGATGAGGCAATCTGACTTAACAGTAATTTATCAAAGATAAGTGTACTTTCTGTGTTACCCTTCCTATAGACCTTTTCACAGAGGAGGGAATAATTTCTTTCCTACCAGATTTGGAAATGAGCAAAGTAAAATTCATATGCTCTCAGCTCTCCTCATCCACTCACACACAGAACTAAACAGCTCTGCAGTGTTGGTCTCCCTAATTTATTTTTTTTTAAGACTCTCTAAGCTGCATTCTGCTGTCAGGAAGGTTTTTAGAGGAAATGGAATGAAAAGTGGCTTGTAAGGCAGAGTACGAACCAGGCAGCTCTACACTGAGCAATGTTGGGACTGGGAGTCCAGGGAGCACCTGTACAGATTTCCTTATACAAATCTGGACTGGTCTACAGAACCTCCTTCACAACAGCAACTTGTTTCAAGATGATCTCTTCAAACAGTTCTTGGCAAAGGTCTACTTGGAACCATTCTGCCAAGGGGTAACAGAAAAAGGCACACAAGATAGATGTAGAGCCATTCCAAAGGGACATAGCAAAATCCTGTCCTTTCTTGAAACCCTGGTACTTTCAGAGTAATCAATTAGAGCCTGAGTCCTCAGGACTACATTTTTGAACAACACTTCTCTTTTCTCCATCTACCTTGCAAATGGAGCAGAAGAACCTGGAACTGGGGACTTTGTAAATGCGTAAGACTGGATGAATATAGTCTGATGTTAAACAGGGCCCTGATGACAGGAAAGACATTTAAAAAAACTGGACAGCACAAGTCCAAAGATAGCTAAAGATATTCTTTGGCAGAGGAATCGGAGAGAAACTCAAATACCTTCCTTCCTCTTTGAAAAAACTTTTGGATTATTTCCTCAATACCTCCTCTTTGTATTTGTACTTCATATGTAGTTGAAATGCATACCAAGTACATAAGAACAAGCAACAATGATTGTAAGAATAATTTAAGTTATCAAAAATCTTAATTTCTTTTTTCTTCCATTGCAATACAATTTCAAGGAATCAGATTTTACCAGGGATATTCCACTTTTCCCTTTTTTATGCCACAGTTCTCTGAATTAGTTGACTAAGAAAACTGAAAATTTCTAGTAAAATACAAATATTCAATTATCATATTAAAAAAATAAGAGCTACACTAAGTCAGATTCCAATCACAACGAAAATGATCATTAAAAAATAGAGAATAAGGGACAAAGGAAAAAAAATTACCTGTTGAAATCTTCCCCAAATTAAGTTAGAAAAGTAAAAAGTTTTATCAATTCTCAAAGTAGAAAAACCTACTTCCTCTTCATGAAGCAGAATTTTACTGCCTGGGTCTAAACACAGCTGTACAATAGTATTTGCTTTTTACATGCTAATTCTGCTACCATGTATCAACAGAAAAACATCATAAATAGTTAAAAAAATATAAAAACTGAAACAAAACACAAACCCTTGGGTCCTTCATCCTTCTTGCCACCAATATCCCTGACAGGATCATCAATGCTGCAGTCTGTTCCAGCCCAGAAGAAATTACAAATGCAAGTGGCTTCATTACTACAAACCTAGGAAAAAAAAAAGTGACAGCAGTTAATTTCTAACTACATTTTATTAACATGCCACACCACATTTATTTAACCATGTAATTAGACATTTAATTCATGGTATAAAACTTACTTATTTATATATTGTAACAATAGCACTGAGTGTTTGGAATGACATAACACACCTGGAAGTTTGCCTCAACCCTCCTAATACTCTCACGTGCTAGGAGAAGCAAAACTGGTTCTGTCATCACTGGCACTACACACCTGCACAGGCTGTGAAAAATAACAGCAATTTAGCTAGACTAGTTAGATCTTCACCAGCCAGCTATCTGGACTTTGAGCCTGGATGCCCAGAAGGGACACAAACATTTGCATCTGAAAAGTTCAGGATGTAGTTTACACTTTCCAACCTCTTGTTTACAGCTTGCTCCCATGTAGAACAAAGTGGATATATTCCCACTGTTTTTGTCAGCATTTTTCCTAAGCTGCAATGAGGAATGCTTGTCTGGCTTCTAAAAGAGGGGGAACAGTTCTTCCTCAGTTTACATTTACCTGAATGACCTCTAAAAAAGAACTTGGCACTCTAAAATTGGCAGTATATTTATAAGATACAGAAAAACCTATCCAGCGGACAAAACCTAAACCATCAAATCAATAGTAAGAGTTAATAGCTATAAACTTTCCATATGAAAAAGAACATGGAATGGTGCTGCTAGAAGAGGCTACTGTGGAAAAAAGCATGACACAAGAAACAGACATAAAGAATGAAGTTTTGATTATAGGACTAGTAATGAAGTCAAACATTAGACAAACAGCTAATAATGCCTTTTGGACACTGGAACATAATGTGAAAAAAACCCAAGAAACAACCTACCCACAAATTATTCTAAGTAACACACTCAATTTTTTAATTCAACTTTTATTATGCACACTGGATAATCTTACCTAAGAACTTGAAGATAAACACATTTTATGGCAGGTTTGATCAACTGAAATACCCTTTTAAAATTAGGAATTGCAATAATCCAAAACAGAACAGGTAAGATAGTCCACTCACCCTTCATGTCACTCTCAAAAAGTATCAAGATGATTTCTAATCTCCTGATACTTTACTTTCAAATTTTAAAATTTTTATTCTTGATTTTGAACCTAACCTAAAATTGAAACACTCAGTTTTATATTCAAGTACAGACAACAAGAATGAATAACTCCTTTTTGTAAAAAATCTAGCCCTTTAGGCAAGTATTTGTCTCATTGAATCCCACAGTGGAAAGGTTTTATTGGTATTTAAAACAGTGATCTGTTCATCAAAACAGACCTAACATCTTAGACAAATGAACTTGTGGGCAGAATAACAGAACATAATGTGCCTGAATGTAAAATTATACACTTTGGATCTGTTTAAGAACTGTTTGGAACTGTTCAAGAACTCCCTCTCTGCTGAGGATCCACAGCTTGGAATTTTAATTATTTAAGCCATGGGCTATAAATCTATGAACACAAGACCAGCTTTATAAAGGTGTTAGTGTGCAGGAAAAAGTTTAATTCAAGATGGCAAGTAGCTTGAAATATGGGTAGTACATTACAGAAGTCCTTCCAATAACTAATGTCAAAGGTCTTTCTTGCTACTAACAAACCTAACTAATTGGATATAATTGCAGAATCAATTTGAGAACTTTTCCTTTCTAAATTTTTTTATGCATCACAAAATGGCAGTCTTCTCCTGAATCCAACATTTGTGTTTTGAGATCAAAAGGTCTTAGGAAGATTTTCAGGTGTTAGGATAGATAGAGCAGAGAGAGCTGGGGAAGCCGAGCTGCTCACTCCCAGTACAGACTCACCCCGTGACCAGAACAGACTTTTCCGTTGGAACCAATGGGACAGCTGCTTATGTTCAAGGACTGGATTGGCAGGCACTTTTTGTCCAGACACATCATCTGAGGTCCACATGGAGCTCCATCCTCCACATAACCTAAATCTGTATCATCATCTAAAAGAACATGAGCACCACTAGGAGAAATAAGTTTTAAGATAGTATTAGTGTTATGACTGGAATCTTTTGAAAATATTAAAAACATGTCGATGTAGACACTGAAAGCCCCACACCTTTATTTCATTCAGACAGACTGAAAAGAACTGTAGAATTTTTCTGTCTGTCCACAGCAATGACAGTGTTCCAGTTGTCAAAATAAAAATAAGTCTAGATTAGCACTTAAACACTCAAGAAGGGCATTTTAGGCTTTGGGGATTTTTTAAGTCTCTGACAGAACACTGTCCATTTTCCTTTTTTTTTTTTTTTTTTTTCCCAAATGCTGTGAAATACTATTGCTAGAAAAAATACTAAAAAACTAACTTCCCACATGATTTAAATAAAAACACTAGTGGAATAATGGAAGAATTAGAAACCACTGTTCACTCAGGACACAACTATGTAAGACAGTGCTCTTAGGGTGACAAAAACTGCAATGTTGCCATGTTTTCAAAACACAAACCCAGTATTGTGCACAGACCTCGTAGTGCAGAAGACAAACTCATTTACCTGCTCATTTACTGAACTGTAGCTGAACATCTTACCCTGCCTCAACTCTGCAGCTCCCTCCCTCTCAGCCTTCACTTCACTACAGCTGTTTCTTTGAGTATTTTAACACTCAAAAATCAATACATTGAAAATATGGGTCTTTGGCAATCACAGACTTTCTCTACCCCCAGAAAAACATAATGCTGAACATGAAGCTCTGACTGAAGTTCTGCTATTGGAAGGATCAAGTGGAAGATTCAGGAATATAACCCACATTTTACCCTCTTTAAATATCGAATATTAAGCTTTTTATGGTTTGGAGGTTTTTTTAAATCAAAAGAAATACCACTCAGAATAATGATTTTGCTGCAATTACCTAAAATTCACAGACTCTCACATTTATGTCTCTCTTAGTTCAGTTAGGTTTGACAGAGATAAGTCATGTTGGAATACTACATTATCTTTTACCTGCAGTCCACTATGCGTCCTTGATGATAAAAAGAATTTGGGATAATTTCTCCTTGAACTTGACCAACTCGTGGAACTCTAGTAAGATTAGTACAGAGCAAAAAGCCACAGAAAACATCACTGGAAAATGAAAACAAAAATCAAAATATTACTGGAATAATATGAGGTAAACTTACAAAAAAGAAAGTCTGGCAATGGTGCTGCTGATCACAGTAATATATTACCATAAGCCATACAATAGAGTGCAAGCCTAGAAATAAAATATTATTTTATTTAAAAGATAAAAGGCAGAAACAAGACATAATTCATTTCAATGCACCAGTGAATGCTCACATGAGCACAGAATGTATCTGTGCTCCAAGAACAATCCAGTATAAGTAAGAGGAGCCAAACTGTACAAAGCTTTGACATGAATTGCTGAATTGCTTTTTTCTCTCTGGCAGCTTACACACCATACCTCAATGTCAAGTTTGAAATTTTCATTGCATTTTTTTTCCCTTGCAGGACAACAGAACCATAACAACAGTTTTTAGTGTGCAGTTGTGTGTGCCCAAGTTTTGGTAAAGAATCTTCTTTTTAACGTTATTTTATATCTACATATATTTAATTATATTTTATGTAATATATACAACATATCTTTTATATCTTCAATAGCGGGATATTAACTAATACTGGTTGTCCTAAGTCATAGAAGCAACTGAATGAATGCTGGAAATTGACTTCGTTAAAACTGAAAAAACATAAACAGCCCTTCAGCCAGATCATTGTCCTGCATATCTCTACCAACAAAGAAAAGCTTTTATAGAAATGAGGGTTTAACATACACATTAGAACACACTATCCTCATCTAAATTAAACAACTCCTTTCCTTATGATCCTATCTGAAAACTAATAACATAAAAATATCCACCGTACAAGCATCAAACAGTCAAAGAGGGAAAATGCTATTCCAAAACTGAATTTGTATGTACATAATTAAAAATTACAAAAGAGCAGTAAATCAGGAGAAATTAAGTCTATCTACAATGATCAATAACTTGAAAAGTAAATTCAATCAAATATTCATCTAGTAATGATATTATGGAAATTAATCCAGCCTTTTCTCTATAAGATCCAAACGTCTAATGGTCCTCTCTGGTCAAAATAAAGGTTGGAACAAACTTGAAACAGCATAATCTGGTGTCAGTCCCAGAGCACGTGAACAGAGTGTGTGCATTTGCAGCCTAATTTATCCCTGCCAAGGCTGAGGTGTTTTATGTTATGAACTTGTGACTTTTTGTTGTCTTGTCCCTCAGCTCCTCTGAAGTAACTGAAGTCACAGTATATTCTTCTGAAAATCTAGAATTATTTACAAGTCTATTGCTGAGCCACTATAGATTTGTCAGAGTGCAATTTTTTTCAAGATGCAAACCTCATGAGGGAAAAGACATTCAAAATAAAGCAAAACAAGCTGCTGAAAAATGCATGGAAAAGTAGAAAAAGTAGACAGTATTAAACCACTACCAATCTATTTAAATTACAAATAATCTCTACCAAACTGAGCTTACTGTTTGCTGCACTGAATCCATCGGTCTCCATCCTTTCCACAGTTTCCTTTTGTTGTGCCTTCTGTATTAAGCTTTTCATAACAAAATTTGTCAGATCCTGAAGACTCTGTTGATGAAGAAAAAAGAAACATATTTTCCACTAGCAACATGACAACTTTGAAACCTGCATAATTCATTGCAGCTGTTCTCTGTAATTTTTTTTAATACAAAACATCAATTTAAATACATATGTATGTGCACAGATGGTATCTTCCAGTGACTAAAAGGGAGAACAGGCTAAACTGAAAATACCCATTGATATGTTCAGAATATGCTCTGACCTTCTAGAATTAGCCTCCATGGTGTCTGTATTGTACTCTGCATATGAAATTTTTCTGTGGTCTAATTTTGTTCACTTCATAACAGTTGCACAAAGATTTAATCTACTTGGTTTTCACTGCAGTTTTTCCTCATCTGCATTTCAGAAGATTTTATATAAGACATTTATGATAAGCATATGTTCTGACATAAACTAAATGTTGATTTTATTCCATTTTTCAAATGTTCACAGGAAACCAAACATGGACACAATGTAATTTTTACTTATTTTTAGGAGTAAAATTCTGAACTAGTAGGTTTTAAACCCATAATTATTTACTGATTAGCTCATTTGTTTTTTCTAAAAATGAATCTAAAAAAAAGAAAATAGAAAAGTACAACTATTATATAGAAGAAGATAAAATAATAAGACAGAGTGGCCTCAGTGGCAGTTATAATTAGACAAAATGCAGAACACACTAAATGCCAGAGCACAGAATGTCCTGGTAGTTCTACTCTGCTGATTCGTCTCTAAATCATTATACACAACATTCAGCCCCTCTCTGCTACAAGCAAAGCCCACTGCAATTGCAATTCTGTTTAACTCAACACCTCTCCACTTAAATCCATACAATGCATATTTAAGTTCACACCAATGTACCATATTTCCTGACTTGGAGGATAGTATAGAAGGAGAGGCAAGGTGGACCAGCTTTGGCATGAACCACTGATGGGATGATGAAACTGGTGACTGTCATTAAGAAAACCCCAAAACATCAGTTTTTGAACTGTACCCAAAAAATCCTCAACACCCTCCCCCAATAGCATTTACTGCCCTACCCAGATCTGCAGTCACATCATCACTCTCACTGACACCACTCCCAGGTTCAGAATTCCACTTGGCAACCCAAGCCATTTTCCCACTGCAGTCTACTCTCTACCGATCAGAAAAATTTCACTTGTAGTGACAAGAACAAAAAATAAAACCATGAAAAATCCAAAGCAAAAGCAGGAATGAACTAGAAATAAGATATATTTAAGGTAGTTAAAGTCAACCTACTAGATCCCCAGATATATTTGCACTGATTATCTCTTGTCTTGCATTCACCATTATAGCAACGACCCTAAAAAAGTACAACATGTTAGGAATGAGAACTGAAAACAACTTCATCTCCTTCCCCTCCCACAACAAATGTCTCATTTTCACCCTTCACATGCATGTTAGGATGTAGATTTCATGATTTGGGTAGATGAAGTACACATTTTGGCCCAGATTCCCAAAGCCAGTTTGTGTTCAATACATACTGACATTTTAGCAGTTGCTTTATACCTTTACATAGTTGGAAAGAACTTATTAAGATGAAGTGTAATAAAATATCTATGTATAAAAAGAGACCTAGTGGATTTTGGTTAAAGTAGAAATTATTGCTATTCATAGAGTGCATAAAACACATGCAACATTGATGTTTAAAGGATAAAATATATGAAGAAATATGGAATACAGGATTTTAAAAAAATTAATTCCAAAATAGGAATGTGTGTTTGGTTGATTTCTATTTGCTGATGTGCAGGGATTTTAAAACATTGCATACCTGATTAGAATCACAGGCATACCCATCTTGTTTATGAAGATTTGGTGGACACTGAAAAAAATTAATAATATTTTTTGTCATGTGCACTGTAATAATACATCAGAGTATCACATATGGAATTTTCCTGCTTTTAAGAGAACTGGACGACATATAAAGGGTGTTGAAAACATAATTAGTGCAATAATCTTCATAGCTACAAATATAAATGAAAAAATTAACATCTTGAGCCATGACATACAATGTTCAAGTCTAACTTCCTGCATATTCCAAGAAGAAATTAAGGATGTGAGTCAAAATGAAAGCCAATGTGTTCAGTAAGAGGATATTTGGTAGCTGATACTGGGGCCAGGTTTGCAACACTGCCACCACAAGCATTTCAGTTCCACTAAAACACTGAGGAGCACCTGGTCGCAGCCTACCAGTCTATTGCTTACTGAGCTTCAGGGGGCTTAATGATCTTAATTGTTATGTTCCCTTGGCACTGGAAATTCTTTCATACAAACAAGTCACTAGGTCCAGAAACCTCAGACTATTAAAGTAAGGACTTACTTTAAACCATGCTTAAGGTTTTGTCCTCAACTAAAAGAGACCTGTGAAAATTTGGAAAGAGAATGCTGCTGCACTGGACTGTGTTAGCCAATACTCTGGGGGCAGCCTGAGAAAGCCCTTCTCTTATTAAGAATGCTTCATCTACAGAGCAAAAGATTTATGATAAAATATTGGTAATAGCCACTTGTCTATGTGTTGATGTCTCAGATGATAAAATTAAAGCAAGTTATTGTTAATTTATTGGCATTTATAACTACAGCCAATGTCCAAAGAGATTGTGATTTGTCCTGAATCTCCTTTCTTCAAGGCTAAGAACTTGATGCAGTAGATGACTGCATCAGTTATTAAATTCTTATATAAATAAATATATAAACATTCAATATTGAAAAGGAGTATATGTCACCTAACACATCAAAGTTGCCGTGAAAATGGAAAATGTACAGCATGTTGACTATTTAAAAGAAATCAAATTGAAACAACATTCTATTTGCTGTTTATTCCCATATTTTATATTAGCCAAATGTTTTCAGGACAAATACATAAGATCCACAAGTTTTAAAATTCTCATACATGTGCACACTCTTAGAAAACATAACACACTTTATAGAAGTGTTACAAAGAGCAACTGAGGGATCTGGGGTTGTTTAGCCTGGACAAGAGGAGATTCAGAGGGAACCTTCTTATCCTCTACAATTCTCTGATAGGAGGTTGCGGAGACAGAGGTCGGCCTCTTCTGCTCAGATAACAAATGACAGGATGAGAGGAAAAGGCCTTAAGTTACGCTGCAGAGATTTAGGTTGGATATTAGGAAAAACTTCACCAAAAGGGTTGTCAACAGCCTGTTGGAACAGGCTTCCCAGAGACACAGTAAAATAATCATCATAAAAAAATGAAAATGATCATTTCATCATAAATCATCATTCACATACCTTTTACAGGTGTGTAAATGACCTGCAGATGTGATATTTAGGGACATGATTTAGTGGTGGAGTTGGCAGTGCTGGGTTCATGATTGCACTCAATCTAAAAGGTCTTTTCCGACCTAAATGATTCTATGTTTCTATACTCCATTAGTTGTAATTTTCTATAATTCTATTTTATGCCATTTTATTTCATAGAATCTTAGTGTTATTAACTTTGAATACATTCACATTTGTAGTGTATTCTTATTATTTAATTTATAGATCAGGCAAAGAGTAAAGAAGGATGCCTGACACAAATATTATACACAAAACCCCAAGAGTTATATAAACCAAATAAATCTAGAGAAGTCATCTTTTGAGTCCACTTAGATTATTATTTTCACGAGTTTACAGTATTTTACACTCCATTATTACATCACCATTTTGGGCATAAGACTGCAGTTTGTTAATACAATTTTCCTGTTAAATTAATACAAAAAAAAGAGTGCAAACAAACATCAGTAGTGCAAGCAGAGAACATTTCTCCACACATACCTGTCCAGAATCCCCAGTGCAGAACTCTGCAATGTCACACTCATTCACTGCATATCGACAGTCATAACCTCGTGGGAAAAACTAGAAAATTAAAAACACAATTCAGCACTAAGAATACATCTATATAAGCTGCTTCTTTTCCTTCTGTCTAAAACATATTCTGAACTTTAACAGGCTGCACATGACTGCCATGAACAACTGAAAAGAACAACTGATATATGGCAGCAATACTCACAAGACATGATGTATTACAGCAGGGGCCATCGCTACAATGAGCTCCGTTAGAAAGAGAGCACTTCTTACAACAGTCTGCATAGCATTCCTGAAGAAAAAAAATAAGCAAAAATTTTAGTTTTTCATTTCAAACAAGTTTTGTTTCTTTGCAATTTTTCCAACATCAAATTATTATGTACCAGCAGACAAAAGATTCATTTTATCACTTATGATTTGAAATTATCAGCCGGAAGAAGCCATTGCAATACTTAAATACTAAAGGGAGAACAGTGACATACAATGCTATTGCAACACAGGGATTCACATCTTCCGAGTCCTGCACCAAATTTATGCTGCTTAATTCAATACTGTTCAATGCAGGAAAAAAACCCAACCTAATTACTGGTGCAATTATATTTAAATACAAGAATGAGGGCTCAAATTTAGTGGTCAGATTTTTGCAAAAACATTATTGGAGCATTTCTGCAGTAAAGAAGAAAACAACAGTTTACTTGTTCTGTCTGAAAACAGGCACCAGTCTCCAAAATATCAGTAAGGAGTCTCCCACTCCAGATATGCTATCTAGGGAAAGCAAAGGAGTAAGCATTTCTCCAGTGCAACTCAAAAACTGCTGGGAAATAGCTGTTATCTTGTCACTGGTGTAAAAGGAACTGTTCAGAGGACACTGTCTTTGCACTCATTGTCATTTGAAAAAATGTTTTAACACAGGCTTTTAACAAAATTGTTCCCAAACAACAGGCAAAACAAATTCTTTTCCACAATCTTTCTTCACTCTCTTACCAATCACCTAATCTATCTTAATAAATTTTATAAGACAGACTTGTGGAGCAATATATAACTCTACTTACCATTCGGAAACCACAATCACATTCTTCTCCTGCTTCTACATATCCATTTCCACACTCAGTGGCTTCAAAGAGCTGAAAGAAAAAAGCCCCCACCCCAAAGTAAGAATAAAATCAGTGTCAAATGACTTGTGTGTCACACACAACCTATTTCTGCAATGCTACACAAATGTGCTGTCCCAGACAATGCAGGCACCATGCCTCAGTGAAGTAAAGGCAGTGTGGTTTTCAAATGCTGCTCATCAGAATTTTTCAGACATGAAAGGCATACAGCTAAGTCACAGAAATGCTGGTCCTCTTTTGGAGAATACTGATCTCAGTAAACCATGATAAACAGAGAGAGACTACAATAATATTTAAGGGGATGACATTTGAACTTCATTCCTGTTCCATGGACTCCCATTTTTCTGATAATTCCTTCAAGAAACCAGTCCACACTATCATTCTTGGGATTTGCTCAGGTACCCACACTTGCTCATGCAACGAGCTACTATCTGTTCCTGTGCGACGTTTGTGCATGAAAATATTAAATAGAAAGAAATACTGCCAAAAGGAAGTCCTATGTGCCTTATTAGTAAGTTATACACAACCACATACAAAGACTACTGAACAGCTAATCCTAGAACCAGATATATACAATGCAGATAAATTCTGCAGTTCAGGATGATGCAGATTCTATAGTAGTTTCACACATCATAATTTTGATTAAAGGTACTTTTCAGTCTTGTCACAGAAATAATTCTGCAAGAAGCTAGTCTGTTTTCAATATAATTCTGCTTTAAAATCCTATAACAATATCACAAATCACCAATTTAATTGGAATATTAGCAGCAGAAACACATCCACTAGAACATGGTTGAAATGAGAACTTAGAAGTTAACAAGTTAAAATATTAACAGATTGAACAGATTAATCTAAGGGTGAAAGATGTGAGGAAACCTTTCTGCATGGGCTTAGTGGAAGTAAAGCTGTGGAGAACCAGCAAGATATGAAACACAATATATAATACAATACAAATTATATATAAACTCGTATGTACTTCTTCTTTGGTAGTTTTGGTTGGGGCAGGAGCAAATAATAATGCCTAGTAAAAAAAAATAAAGCCTTTCACTTTTGTTTTATAAACCACAGAGGTAATCAGTAGCACCTATAATTTCGGGTGCCAGAAGCAAAACAATAGTGAAGAAATATCCATATGTGGTGTTCTTCACCAGTAATGCTGACAGGATTTTAAAAAGCATTTAACTTTTCTTTTTCTCCTCTTTAAGCTCCTGTTTCTCCTACACTTTGGTGCAAACAGCAGCATATCCTATGCTGAAACTGAAATTCATTTCTCTATCAAACAAGAAAATTACAGAACACAACCAGACACACATACATTTCCTATGGCAATCAGGAACCATTTAATGCTCATGTACATGTCAGAGTATAACTCAGGATACAATTTTAAAAATGGCATCAGGGTGACTGCTTAAGAACTCTGTTTTACTTACCAAAACATTAAACATACCATTTTCTACCTTACCTCCTGACCTCTAAATAAAAGCATTCTAAACATTGTATGATTATTTTTCCCTCCCAAAGTACGTTAAAGCTGTGAAGCACCGGCACAGATAATATATAAAGATAATTCAACCATTTCCCTGGGAGCCTTTTCCCCAAAATAAATCAGATTTTTATTCTGTCCAATTGACAACTGCACGTTATTTTGCCTGACAACTGTCACTAAAAACCGAAGCTGTGTTTTTCTATTTCCCAGCTTATTCCTTTGTGTAAGAATTCTTGCATTCTTATCCTATAAGCAAAGATTGCTACCCTGGGAAAAAATTCAAAACCATTTGAACAAGCAAAATTTTTTTTTAGTTATTTTGCAAGGTGATGGTCCACCAAAGGGTATAGCATAGTAAACAGAACAGCCTAATAGCCTCATGTGGTATTAAATTCTACAAGGACAGCAGTTTGACACTATGATTAAATAGAATATTAATACTTTGGATAGCTCTTACTTGGCAAAAAGAGCCACATGGAATATTTTTATACTGCTTAGCTTTACAGGGATATCAGGCTAACATTGTCTTAGAAAAAAATTATGACCTTGGTAAGTTTTTAGGCAAAAAAGCAATGGTAGAAGGAAACAGCTATGAATGAATGTTTGCTAGATGTATATTTGAAATGAAATTAAGCTAATGTTGAGAACAACAAAAAGTTACTACTGTCTATATGAAATCAGCTATGGATTTCTATTTCCTAATGTGGTAACTAGCATTCTTTTTAACAACCTTGGACACAAAGTCTAACAATAGAGTATAGGTGGAGCATACACTTCTGGATTTATTGTGCACTACTTCCAGCTTAATAAGTAGTTAATTATTTTAAAATGCTAAGGGGCTGAACAGCTCAAGAAAATACCCACATAGATATCTGAATAAATTTGAGAACAGATGATGTCAGTGAAATGATAACATTTTCATTACATGTAGCAGATATCCTGATTACTAACTTATTACCTTTGTTGGCCTGTTAAAAAGACAGGCACCTCCCCCACGAAGTAAAAATTCTTTGTATTCTGCAATGCTGCATTTGGAGAATTTCCTGGAATGGTATACCCTAAAATGGCAAAGAATTAGGTGAGTTAATGCCTTGAAACACCACCAGCTACTGGAAAGGGGCAAAGAGGTCACAACTTTAAAATACTGTAAATCCCAGTTTCTTACAACCACTGTGCAACAGTATGACAGCTCAGAATGTACAGTATATAAAACTGTAGCTTTTAAACTTCTTAATAAGGTAAACCCACATTATCATAGTAGCTGCTATTCACCCTTTCGATTGCATGCATAATCCAGTATCCTCTCAGGTTTGTTTTTAACACCTACAAGATGCTACAGCAACAAGTTTCACAGCTTAATACAGACTGGTAGAAGAACAATTTCATCCCATTTTCTTCTGTCATATTTGCTAATCTCATTTCATGTCTCCCTAGCTCTTATACTAGAAGAAAGAGTAATCATTTTGCATAATGTTACAGACTTCTCTCATATTTCCTCAACTCAATCTTTTTCCCAGACTACTGAAAACATACTTGATTAGTAATTTCTTACTCAGAAATTGTCCGATATGTTTATTAGGCATGTTTTGAGATCTGGGAATGAGATCTATTCACACTATTAAACATTGGGGTAACCATGCCATAAGGAGGTTCTTCATTCCTTTCCTAACAGCTCATTGCCACTAAGCTATTTCCCCACTTTCCCAATACAGAAAAAAATGTCTCCTGACACTGATGGAGTTAAGTGAAAAGGCTTTAAAGTACAGATAATTATTTACTCATTTTATTAGTCAGTCCTTTATCAGCTTCTACATGACCATCCTCTGCTCCTGGCTCATATTTGTTTGCTGTTAAACTTTTTTACAGAAGAGGCTTATTCCACAGCCTCTTCTTTTGATACTTCCATCCAAGACCAATACTTCGATGATTTCACCATATGAAGGAAGCCAGTATCTATTCTGATCAATGCTTTACCTCAGATTCCAGGAGCAAACTTATGGAATGATTTTCTGCTGCACTCATACAGTGGCTGACAATTACAAGCTTACAGGGAAGCCACAAAGTAACCAGTTTCCAAATACCGTACAAAGAAACTAAGCTCCTCCTGTCTTACTTGTAACGAATTTTCTCCACGATTTTTGCAATCAAGCTTCTGCAGTGAGCAAGATACTGACAGGAAGCGATTTGTAAGACTCAAACCCCTATATTTCAGAAGTTATCCTTTTCTAATCAATTGCTTACAGTACAGAGAAAAGAATCTTTGGCAGTGTGAGGGTGGTGGGCAATGAAATTCCTCCCATATAGATGTGCTTCCCCTTCAGACTTCACTGACCATTTATTTACCTATGGCTTGAGTTCCAACTGTTTCTAGTTTTTCATTTATTAGCACTAAAACACATGGATAAAACTGAATGCATAAATACTTTTGTAATAATGTAAACTATGAACTCATTCCAGAGCCCTTGGTTACTGATATTTATGACATACCCTGTTTCCTCCATGATGCAACCACCCCAGGATTCAGTGCAGTCACACTCTTCTCAGACAAAACCAAAATACAACAGAAAAGGAGAGAAGTTATAAATATGCTTACAATAAATATAAAGTACTCACTATGAAAATGGAGCTTGACTAATTATACAAAGATTTGATGGTTGCTTGGCTGTACAAACTCTAGCCCCAAAAAGGAAACCAGCCCCCTTGAAGACATACTAATACCTTAAAGAAATAGAGTACTTTCAGATTCCCATATCTGCAGGTTCTTAAGACTCAACACAAAATTTCAGGCACTACACAAAGCTAAAAATAGTTGGCAAGGTTGTTTCCTACACGCTCTCAAAACAGGCAGCACGAGGGTACCTGCAGTACACATAATATTGATGATTTTAACTGTTCACATTTTCTCCTCCCTAAAAATACAGAATACCCTGAAAGAGGATTGTTACTGGACAGGCCAGGCTTTTTCTCTTTGGCATAAAATTATTAACAGTAATATGTGAATCAGCCAATCAAACATTCATTTGAAAAAGTAGTTGAATGAAAATGGATTTACAGTTTACTTACAGCTATAGCACGTAAGTCAAGAGTGACCAAATTCGTAACATAAAAACAAAAGATCAGCACCTTATGGTTGGTAAAACAGAAGCTGCAAACTGCCCATATAAATGATCTACCAAAGATAGATGCACTGTAGTTACTACTGGAAACCCAGAGTTTCTCCATGGACAATATTCAGAGATTATTTATATGGTTATTTCTACTCTCCCCAGGTCTTTCATTAATCTTTCTCTACAAAAGGCCTCCAAATAAGGACACTAAGCAATCATATCAAAAACCTCTATCTTTCAGTTAAAAAATATTCTGATTTCCAAATTGTATTAACTCTGTTTTACCTTTAACCAAAATGATATAGAAAATAGTTTAGCAATTGCTAGATTACACAACTCAAGAGCAACTTTTTACAAAATGATATGCCTAAGCATAGTTTCTTAACTCACAGATTTTTGAAGTGATTCCACAATAAAGTCAAGATTATCATTCATGTTTTTAAAGAGGAAACAAAGAGAACAAGTAGCCAAACTAGTTAAAAAATGCAAGTGAAAAACCAAACAATTTTCTTTAGCCCTCAAAAGGGGTTTGCAGCAGGTTTTGTACCAACACTCTACACATGTTAAGGCAACACAAATCTGGTCTGACTGTGAAGCAGCAAGACAAACAAGTTGAGCAAATGTCATACTGGACTAGGTTACAACTCCTTCCCATTTCTTCAATTGTAAATTAGGTATTTTTGCATTTTAAGAAGTCAGCAATTGTTCTGTTAGATTTACAGATTTCATGATGATAGAAAATGAGTTCTAAATTAAATTAATGGTGCTTTTACCAATATACCTTTGAATATTGATTATGAAGCTAACCTCAACACAGGACATCACTGAGGTCATGCAAAATGTCTCTAAGCCAGCAGCTCTTATTTTGGTGAAGCTGAAATTTCACTACATATATTTCCAAAAGTAGCAATTCTTCTTCTACAGTTACTGCAATTTTGGCATTTCTTTCAAACACAATAAAGGAAATGTTTATGTTTTTAGCTATGGAAGACAAAAGACTCCATGTACATACTTGGTTTCCTGGCAGCTGGCTCCCATTGTATTCCAAGATTCTGAGCAAGACTCTGTGCAAGTTCCTGTGCCATGGGCAAAGGGAGACCATACTGCATTCCAAGAGTAGCACAATTATAAAAAAAAAAAAAACCCATTAGTTATTGCAATGACCACTACAATGGCTCATCCTGCCTTACCACATACCTACTACTTCAATAATTCAGTGCAGTCAATCAAAATTCTATGTGCATATAAGGAAAATAAACCCAATAAAGTATATAACAGAGAAAATTTTCCTCTCCTAATCTCAGGCAATCTCGCCCCACTGATTAATCTAAAGAAAGAAGTCTATTAATTTAAAGAAAGAAGTTCTGTAATAGTAGGATTTAACTCACATAAAAACAGGAGAATTTCATTATCAATTTAACACTGCACTGAGGGAAAAAAATAACAATAATAGTAAAATAATACACAGGGACAATTTTTTTTTCTAATTTCAATGTTAAAAAATTTCAGGAAGAATTACATGCTATTGGTACCTCAGAAGACCAAGTGTCTTACAGTGGTAAGACAAAGATATTCACTGCTGTGTTTCAAATACTCCTGTCTGAGATTTTTGGGTCTAAATTTCTGTTAAATATAATCAAAGCCAATTTAAGTTCTTTTTAAGAGAATAATGCAGACAGGAGAAATACTTTCTAAACAGAAAGGCATTTTGAGCAATAGTTTGATGATGATCAAGAAGGCTGGCTATGACACTCCTAACTTTTCAATATGTAAATTATCTTTAAAGCCCTGGATACTGAAACATACGAACTCATTACATTATAATGTAGAGATTCTACTTTATTTCACTTTAGTGATGAAAAAAAAAAATTACCTCATTCACTCCTACTCCTCTGGCCACAGAGCAAACACCTCCAAAGTAACTTAAGCTGCTCCTTTTGTAATGAAATGTCACATTCCTTACAAACAAATAAAAATGAAGAAACTATAACACACTGACATAGGGCACCAAGAGCTTATTGAAAGAGCATACTCTCACAGATACTATGATAGATTGCATGTACATTCATCTATTTCTAGCATAAAAAGCAACTGCAAGTTTACAAACAGAATACCAACACTGAAAGAGGTGGTTTTATATAAGTTTCACACAAATACTATTTTTCTCTCGTAGAGTCAGAATCGGTCTTAACCCACAAACTAAGCACAGAAAGCTTGAGTGCCAGACTCCTAAGACAATAGTGATAACATTTCTTTCAAAAGTTAACAGTATATTCCAATTAATGATCTATAACGAAGGAATTCTCTTCTGAAATTTACCAGTACTGAGAACTTTAAAAATTATTATCTTAATCCAAACCAACTTAAGTTTTAAATAAAAAAAAAAAAGACTGAGAAGTATACCTAAAGGGAAAGTGATTTAATAAGCTCTTTAACCTTGCCTCCTTTCATTTATTGTTAATAAGCCCCAAATAATTTAGTTAAGTAATGTAATCTGGAAGATCTAAATTATTCAATAAAATGCCTAAAAATGACTATGAATTACACCTATTTTAACTTCACAGCCATAACAATAAATCTACACAGGCTACAAAAACCTACAGTGATCCTGCATGATGTAAGAATGACCTAACATTTGAAAATTGATGGGTTTGTTTTAAATGACAGGTTACCCCATACAGGTATGTATTTATTTTTCAGAACACTAACAGCCATTAGAACTTTCAGATTGCAGTTTAACTAAACACTTGCAGCCAGGGGCTTCACAACAGACAGGATTGCAGGCACTTTTGGAAATGTTCTAGTTCATCCCTCCCCAGCTCCAAAGAGGCTCAGCTGGAGCATGCCATGTTCTACTAGCTTTGGAACATCTCCAAGCATGGGCACTCCATAGTCTCTCTGTGCAGCCTCTTCCAGCATCTGAGCAGCTTCACAATGAAAGGGTTTTTTTGCCCTATGTTTAAATTGAAGTTCTTGTATTTCAGGTTGGATTTGAAAAGCCTGTTGCTGGAAAACTCTTCAGCAGCTGACACAAAACATGCATGGAAGTCTCTAAGAGTGCATGTCAGCAGAACTGTGCCTGTATTATAAAGAACAAAATCAGCATTCTATTGTGATGCCTGTATTAAGGAAATCCGGGGGAAATTCTGCATCCCCTATTTTTATCGTCTTCTGCAGAAGATGAACTACAGGAGAATCCCATGGAAGACATTAGTTACTCCACCCTCCCAGTATGTCATGTTGCTGGGAGACAGCTTAACATTCGTCCCTATGCTGCACAGGGGAACACACATTTCCTCCTCTTTGCTTACAATGCCATGAAGTAAAATAATCCTTGCTCAATGCTGAAGTGATGCAAGTGGAATTTCCCCTCAAAATGCATTGTGTCTCAGAACAACTCATTACAGCTCTAAAGGAGAAGACCTTCCATTAACAAATCATCACTGCAGCCACATGTGTGAATGAATTTACTAACTGGAATACTCTTGTGGCAACACATAATCCTGTCAGCTCTGCCCTCTCCTGATCATAACTGGAAAAACAGCACATTGCATGCCTGATTAGCAAAGCTAAGTGTCCTTAAGGGCTCATCTAAAGACACTTCACATGTGACACTGTCTTCAGGTTGCAGACATTGAAATATCATTACAGACATATATTGACATGACCATATATACTACAATATACTACACCTATTAAAAACAGGTGTTAAATATCAATTAAGCTTCCTAAGGAAGGCAGATGTTGATTGATACAGAGAATACCAAGCAAAAAAAGTAAGAAAGAAGAGACAAGTACAGAAAAGCAGTAGACAGGAAATAACTTTCTAAGCCATTGCCACAGGTACATACGAGAGCAGGTGCACAGCATCAGCGTGCTGCTTGATGTAGTGCTGCCGATACTTGGAGAAATCGTGGAGCATCTGCAGAGGGTCAGGGCGAATATTGATGCGATCTCTGTCTGTCCAAGTCTCCACAGCAACCAGAACCACCCTGGTGTTCAGCTGTTCCTTGTATATCTGAGGGCAGAGACAGCACAGGCACAGGAGTAGAACACTGGGTCAAACATGCACAGTTAGCCAGTAAGAGTAAAGCGGAAGGACAAAAGGGATAAAGCAGGAGGAAAACACGGGAAAACAGTTAGCTGGCAATGCCTTGCATTTCCTAAAAGCTGATATTCTGATCCACTATGTTTTAGAAGGAAAACAAGAAACAACACTTGTTGCTCTTTTTTTTTTTTTTTTTTTTGAGTCACGCCATTTTCTTTAAAATTCTCATGGCAAGTAACTTTGCCATGCCACTGAGTTTTACAGAATATCTGTGCAAAAATCAGCAAAGAAGAAAGGTAAAGGTACACTGGGTGATCTCAAGTAAAAAGAAAAGAACGATCTCAAAGAGTAACCAAAGACAATTCTAAAGCTGAGATTAAATAATTTCTCACTTTTCCAATAAATCCAAATTTTAATTAATGCTTGATTTCCATTTATATACTATGATCACTTAATTCTCACACTGCTTGAGTAAAATTAATTAAAAATATTGATTTGTCTATAAATTTTAATGTTACAGTAGCAATAGACAAGGAAACAACAATCGGGCATTAATAATAACAAAACCATTTTAAAATATGCATTTTAACATTGCACACAATGGAAAAGGAACTCAGAGACAGCATCTGGTAGCCTTTGTATTCATCCCTACTAAAAATCTACCTGTTTTCACTACATACAGAGCCCTGAAATGTGTGTGATCATTATATGTGTATCAAAAACACAAAAAAAAGAACCCAAATTCATTTTACCACAAATATTACTTTTAGTTTATTTGCAGTATGCGAAATTGTTTTAAATTTAGCACAGATACAAATATAGTATCTGTGTTAGTTCCACTCATCTATAATGTAGTACAGTGGCATTTTGTTTGTAATCTATAAATAGAGATTTATAAAGCAGATTATTTTACTCACACTCACACTTTTTCTTCCAATATATATATGTATCCCTTGTGAGCTATACTTGCAGTTTCAATCACTTGTATTTAGATACAAATAAAAATTTGATTAAATCCCATTCTTAATTGGTGACAGATAAGGAAATCACCCCTGCTGAAGGCAAAATCTGAGTGTTGCAAGCTTTAAGAATAACGCCACAGATAATCTGGTAGTTTCTTATACCTTCACCCCAGGCTATTCTTCTGCAGAAGTACACTTTAAAGTGTAATAGAAATTTGGTATAGGGAAATTATAACATTTTTAATACAGTGCTAAATAGAAGTCAGTGAATCAGTTTTCAGAAGAAGCATTGATACTTACAGCATCTACAAGGTTTACCACAGACTTTGCAAAATTGTTTGTGTATGCAGTTGAAGAACGGTGCTTTTTAAACTAAAAGAAGAGAAAGTAGAACACAGTGAGAATTTAAATATTTATTGCTAATTCTTTATTTTTACAGCATGAACATAAAATCAACATTTTAAGAGAGTAAGGGAAAAACCAAAAAGATTTTCAGATCAGAGCCTATATCTCATATTCAAGAATCCCTGGAAGATAAAGGCAGCCATGTATGTTATGCAGCCTTTCCCAGCTGTAAAAGGAGCATTTAACCACAAGAAATACTGTGATTAGAATCGGAGTTCAAATGTTTGAGACAAAATTACAGGTAAGCATGAACATCAACATAAGCTCAAAACTGAGAGTATGCTTTACCTATTAAAATCACTTAACCTGATGAGTTACATATCAGATTGTAGTAGCCATATTCCACCACTTTAAGACATGAAGATGAAGCATTTACCACTTATCCTGTGCACAGCTCTTTGTAAAGGCCTCCTTTTCTACAATAGCACAACACTTTTGTAACATGCAAGCAGGAGTTATAGGAAAAGGCAAAATGGAAGAGGGAGCGCATGGTAACAGTAAATATGTGTTTGAACATGAAAAGAGTTAATCTGAATATCTTAAATTCTAACTTCATTTTTTAAAAAAAATTTGATAGACCTAGATGAGCTGTATTAAAAGTTCTGCTTCATAATATCTGTGCATGTCATTACAATGGTTTAACATCTTTCCTCATCCTGCCTCATGAGCCCCTTCTGTACCAAGTAAAATTTTTTAAAGATGCAGCTATGGTATCTGAACATGAATCCATATGACTTTCAATAAACTGTAAAATTATAAACCAAGAGTACATTACACAGTATGATTTGCAGATAGGAAAAATAGATATTCAAAATTTCACAGAAAATTAATATGAAATTGCTTAGAATAGAGGGAAAAACCCTTTATCAAAAAAATTATTAATTTCAACTACTGGTTAAAAGCAACACGTCTCATTGCCTCACAGTGTTCTATGAAAGTGTCATTTGTTCTCTCTATGAAACACAGTACTTAAAAAGAGGCCTTGGAGAGACTCTTCTCTGAGCAATTGAGTAGCTGCTCTCAGGTCTAGTGCTAGTAGGTGCCTAGGATGTACACTGAAAGGAGCATTATACCATGGACTGCTCCCCAGAGAACAATGACAATGGGGAAGGAGGAAAGGGTCGCTTTGGCTTTTTGTTTTGAGCCAATCCCAAACTTTTCCAGAAGTGGAAAGATAAAATAATATGCTTGGGAAGATGTTCTTGGTTTTCATGAAAGAAAATGCTAAAATCAATAGCAATATACCACAAAATGTGGTTAAACACGTATCTAAAATACGTTAACCCAAACCAGTAAAAAAATGCAACAACCTAATTAAACGTGTTGAGATATCTGTATTGCTAGACAAAAGGAAATGTTGTGAAAATACACAATATTAACCATTTAACACAATGATCAAGGAGGTTTAAGATACTACTTGCAATGAAGACCTTTGCTGCAGGGGAAACATGCCCTCTCCTGGTAAGCAGAAAACCTTTAAAGTATATTTAGTGAGGTCCTAGACTGGCAAGCTGTGACTCCTAGCTGTGAACACTTCTCTAAGTATATCCATTTTATTCTTTGAAAAGAATTATATCTGCTTCTAAGTCACTGATAACTATGAAGCAAAAAATCTTGTGCTCTAAAATTCTAACAAATAAAGCTTCAGAGGAGACAACAGTGTCTGTAAGTGTAGTGAACACCTTCAAGCATGACTGCAATACAAGAGGCCAGGAGAAAGAGACGGACATAGGAATATTTTCTCTTAATAAGGAACACCAAGCATAGACATCAAACAAGACAACAAAATGGCCATAACTTCAATTACTGTGCCCTACTGCTAAATAACCAACATTTAAGCATTCTTTAAAAGTAGTTTCCTACCAGGTGGCTTTACAAATAAAAGCAACTGAAGAAATTTCTGTCCCACTTTTTCCACCCATTCAAATTCCCTTTACAGTGCTAAATTAACACAGATAAATATAGGTTATGCTTGCCCAGACTACTTCTATGATTTATTAGACAGGTGAGGGGAGGGTATAGTATCTGTCTATTCAGCACTGGAACAAGTATCAATTACTGCACCCTGTTCTGATATCTTCAATTTCTTGCTGTTAAATATCATCCTTTAGTGTTGACAACAGAGCCACAACTCCATAAAGCACTGGGAAACTTGCAGCAGGGTGAGAGACATAAAAAGCTCTTTACTTGCAAATAAAATAAGTGAAAACTATTCTATCAGCAAGAATTGATTTTAAAAAAAAGAAGACATGCTTACAGCAAATATCACTTAATCTGACTTTTTCCAGTCATCAAGACAAAAAGGGGAAAAAATTGGGCTTTCCTACCCCCATGCATTTTGGGTTTTTTTAACAACAAACACTTTCTGAATCAAACAAACAACTTACCTTGCACTGCATTATCACTCCTCTTTATAAGTATGGAATAGCCACGAAGAATAATCAGAGTTTTGTCTACATGTTTTGCTGCATTAAAATTTAAATTAGTAAAACTAAACTCAAAGTAACAAATTCTGACCTCTTCCTATATAACTTCAAAGACAGGATGTAATTTTAGAACATTTAGTGTGTTTGTCTTGTACAAAAATGTTGTATTGCTTTACTTTGTTGGTTATGAGCATATTAATTTATCCAAATGATACCAAAGTGTTCCAGATTAATTTTAAATATATAATTGCCTGAGAAATTCTTAGGTAACATTAAACTTCATTAGGTAGATGGACTACAGTGTTTCTTACAGTACAAATGTTAATAGCTGCTGATAAATAAAATCCTGGGTCCAAAAAAAGGGTGGCAATTTGTAGGCTGCACATCAGCCTACAATTGTCCCCAAAAGGAAGCTTACCATTGAATTTATATACTTACCATTTTATGGTCATTGACTATCATGAGCTCCAGATATTTCATTTCTTCAAAGACACCACGCGATAACTGATGAATTAAAGAAATTCTTTGAGAAATCATGAAGATGTAATTATTTTCAAAAATAATTGCAGCTGATTTTTGTTATATATACATATTAAATATATATTGCTTAGGGTATGTAAACCAGTAAACAACTGATTGAGAAATGCAAGTAGGGTAAAGAATCATAGCTCCAGTAACTTAGACACTGGCTGAGGATCTGAGCCACATCACTAAGAAAGTTCAGGTTCTATTCTTTTTTGCTTCAGTGCAGACACCACCACTGCTTCCCTCCTCCTTTCATTATGTACTATTCACCACAGATTTAATGAGGAAGGAAGTTACTAAAAACATAAGCACCCTCAAAAATATGGTGTGGATTGTGCAACTCAGTGAAGAAAGTCAGAATAATCTCCTTTAACTCAATTATTCCCCAGATACATATGCATGTGAAGATCATGAGGACTGCCTGCTTAAGTTCTCCCAGTAACCCAGTTCTGGGTGTCCTCATTTGGATTTTTGATTTAATCATGCTACTTAATAAGCCAAGTGACAATAAAGTCAGATATCTATAAACGCAAGAGTTCATTCAAAATTATTCTTTATTCTCAAGCAGACAAAAAAAAATCTAAATTCATTTTCACTACTAAATTTTTATTTAATTGATGCATAACATTGCTGTCACTTTATAAAATTTGTCAAATTTCTTCCAAATTTTCTATTTTTGAAGAAAACTCTTGTTTTCTCATTTGATAACTGTATTATGTGACAATATTAAGCTTCTAAAAATACTTGTTCCCTAAACCCTATATTCTCTTGACATTAAAAAACAGAAATTAGTAAGTTTGCTTTTATAAATGGTCTTAACTCAGGGTCGCACTTCTACTTACTGCTCTCTTTCTTCTCCTTCTCCTCAGCCACTGCAGTTCAGACAGAAAAGGCCATTCAGAACTAGAGTCAGTCTCTGTAAAAATTACAGTTTCAGAATGTACACTGTGCAAACCAAAAGTAGATTAAGATCACAAAAATTAGAAACACCCTTGATATTCAAAAGCTCATTTTTAAAAAGATATAAGACATATCAAAATTCAAGTAATTCAGAAATTTTAAAGCATGCAAGGAAAGGTGAATAAAATATAACTTCCTGGGCTTAGAATATACATTTTCTTCCATCTAATTGCCTCAGTAACATTAATATCACTGATTAAAGTCAGTGGTTTTCAGAGAAAAGCTAAATACAGGCCTGTGGATGAAAATTTTACAGCTGCCTTTTGAAAAATCTATATTCTGTTGCAATAATTGTGAAAAAAGGCAGGTAAATATATACTTTTCTTAATTTTCTAAATAATCAGCAATTTTATAAACACTGCGAGCCTAATACTCAAATTTTCCAAGTTATATATACGATCATTTCCAATATTTAAAAACTCATAACATAAGCAAAAACACACCAAGGTCCCGCAGCTGCTTGGAGGCTTGTGTTCCGTAAGTTCTTTGGATGATATGTGGCCTACTTTTACTCTCCTAAAAAGAAAAATATGTGAAATTTTCTTCTAATTAATAACATCAAGAGAAAATGTGGCACTTCTTTCAGTATTTATAATTTTTATTATTTTTTTCTATAAAATGCAAGCAACTATAATACCAATTTGGGATAGTACTAATCTGAAGCCATCTATATGCAATCCTGAGTAAATCATAGAGCCTCTCTGCTTCAGCAAATTGACCAGTCTACAAAACAAAAGTGTCACAGATGTCTTTGAGATTACCTTAATAGTCCTTTAAAAGCCTTAGCATTAGAGAACACAGATCCCTCATTCCAATAAATCAAACTAGAATGTCTATATTTGGTTGAAATCTTCCTTCCACAGATGAAAAGCAACTACTACTATTTATGAAAAAAATCCTATCTAATTGCAAGAAATTGCAAGAAACCAATCAATATACTATCCTTAAGAGGATCCTTTCACCCTGTTTTATTGGTGTATTCCACACTTTAAAAGGACAAGATTTTTAATGCATATTTTCTTTAGAAATCTGACATACCCCAAATTATCACATTTGAGTATCTACTCTAGAAAACAACTCCTTTCTTCCATAACACCTCCTCTGCAGAGCTGCCAAAACAAACAATTCTTTTCAAAGGGTAGGTTGCTGCTGTTCTGTAACTTCCATAAGAAATATATAGCACACTGAAGGACAATGCTGCATCTATTTGCAAGATTTTGGGGGGAAGGGAGAGAGAGTTTTATATGGTATCTACTATAGTTAAGATTAATCAAGCTGAATAATGTACATGCTGAAGACTGTGTTCAACATATTTATCTCATATACTGAAGTTAAAAAAGGAGCCTTTAAAAGCTCTCTGTAGCTGTATTATTTCTGGTAGATTTCAGAAAATTATGCATCTCATCTGTTTTCTTATTTAGAGTTCAACTTGAAACCTTGAGTTGGCAAATAGTATCTCACTTTTATAACCAGAACTTTTGCCCTACTTAAAATTCTTACTGAAATAGCACTCAGAGAGATATCCTGGTTTCCTTTGTTCCCAAGCAAGAAAACAGATTTGTTACATTTTCTTCTTCCTTGTATAAACATAATCTCCATGAATTTATTGTGTCTCTGTTGTTAGTTTTTAGAATTGCAACCTTTATGAAGATGTGCTGCATCATAGATATGCAGCATGTACTGTTGTACCTGGGGAGACTGATTCTTTTAGAGGTAATATTTTCCCATGTGTCTGAAGTTTCATTTGTAGCCCAATAATTGACTGTCCAAATGATACCGAGGCCTCTGAATGTTGATCCAGTTTCTTTGGCAGTATCAGCCAATGATTTTGCAGATCTTTATTCAGACTCTAATTTCAGCTTTGCAGTCACTACAACATGTTGGTTCAGCAGTGTTAATTATTTGTCACATACTATTACTATATACTATTTGTCATACATATACTAGAGCGAGACAAGCTTGAGAACTGCGGCACAGCATCTGCAATATATCCTACAGAGCAAGCAGGATACAAACCTTAAGAACTCTCTGTCTCAATGTTGAAAATAATTTCACTGAAAAACACTCAGAAGTTAGATACACCTAGTTTTACTACTATCTGTGAAACTCTATCAGCTGTATTAACAGCTAAAGTTTTAGAAATGGTTGTACACATGAAACACAAAAAAAATAGCAAAATACTTGCATAAATGCAGTCCTATATGCTGATCCAGCATAATCTTGTATTTGAATATGCTGGACCACAATCATTTAAGAGATACAATGATCACTGACTTAAGACATACAAAGTTTAAGGTACCCAGATGTAATTATCTACTGAATTATGCTTTTTGTGGAATCACGGCAGGTCAAGAGAAATCTGATGCAACTATTTAGAGAGGAATGTACAAGTGAGTTTCAGAGATATTTTCAATGAATTTATAAACATTTTAGTTCAAATACTAGAGCAAATTGATAAACATTTTTTGACAGTCCATAACCACGTGCTATGGGAAACAGTTTTATTTGTCTGTTCCCAGTATCTAAATGATCAATAGCAAGTAGGAAACAAAGGATTAAAGAAAAGCAGAGGAAAATCATAGGTAAATCATAATTATGTATTTGCTACCTTAAACAAATTCAAATCAAGTGTTCTAAAATACTTTTCATTTTCATATGTGTGCATGAGACATATCACTTACTGATTTATTCTAATATTTTTATTTGCTATTCCTTGAGCACTCTCCCAAACAAAATAAACTAGACAAAAATAAGCTTACTGCAGTGTGGGTCAGATCCATTGGTTCTATCAAGTACAAATAAGTACTGTCTTCAAACATGCCACTAGAACATGGAGAAAAACAAGCTATATTTAGGATCACAAAGCAATCAGTTTGACTCCATTTTTTTTATTATTTTCATATCAAAATATGAATTTTGATAAGACAAAACCAAACTTAGGGCTGGAAAACTGACAATATTAAATATATATTCATTAGTACCACCTGTAGCTAAAGTGAAGAATTGGGGGATTATTAAGATATCTGGCATATTTTAATGGATTAACACTAAAGGTAATGGCAATGCTATGATAAAATACCAAAAGGGGTAAAGATTTGACTTTGGGAAAAGGAAGTCCTACAACACATCCTGAGCATGCAAAACATAATCAACAGCTGAGCTGCACTTAGCAGTAACTAATGATAATTTCTTGCATTTTTCCTTGTACAATCTAGTTTTTCTATGACAGAATTATAAATGAATACTGGGCATACAAACTGCTGAAATATAATTCTTGTTTATCCTTTACCATAATAAATTCTCTGGGGAAATATTTACCTGCACTTATTATATTCAAAGGTTTCATGAGATAGCATCAAAACATTAATTCTAATGATACTAAGAAAAATTTCAAAACATAAAAAAAATCTTAGAGCCTGTGGTGTTTCAGTTCCTTCCATATTAAGAGATAGCCTCATTTAAAAAATGAAAACATGCACTTACTGAAGTCCATTACAAGTTGAAAGAGCAACTTTGGAATCCTTCACACCTCTGATATTTCCATGGTAGTAACAATGCTCTCCCCCCTAATAATTTTTAAAAACAAACAATCACACACACAAAATGATCCTGATTTAATATCTGTTGCTTAAAACCAATGCCAAAAAAATCTAACAGTAACAATACTCATTTACCTCATTTATGTACTTGTCTTTACTGTCTATCAGCAATAAGTTCAGTAAACTAAAAAGAAAAGGTATTGTCAAAAAATTGTATTGAAAACCCTGAAGTGTGGTTGTCTCTCAGCCATTGTTTGAAAAACCTACTATTCATAATAAAAATATTTTTAATTCTTTTGTCATGTCATCTGAACTCCAACATGCATATTAAACACATTCTTTATGCAATGATTGTAACTCGAGACAGTACAAAAAATGTAAACGCTCTTTGTCTGTGACAGCATTATTTCCATTTTGCATCTTACTTAATGAGTTATTCAGATTCTGATTTAAATTCCCTACGGGTTATTGTAAATAATTAAATCAAAGTACTTCACAGAAAGTAATCATTCTGTGTTTACCCTTCCATCAGTGAGAATGCATAAAACATGCTTTTTAACAGCTACATTTGATCATGTTTCTTACACAAAGATTTTCAACATTTTTATTTAAAGATGATCATCTGAGTAAAGAAATTGCTGTTTGTTCTTCAGTCATTTTTGTAATTAACTACCTCTTTCTAAAAAAATACTGTACTTTTCATTGAGATTTCACTTATTTAGATCCACATTAGGAAACAAAACAACCTTTTACTTGGGCATAAAAAGTATTACAAGACACCGCAAAGGACCAGGACACAGTCCTTATTTGACCTCCTACACAAATTGTGTGGGGTTCTGGGGTCTTTTTACTATCTACAATGAAGCTTTTTACACATTAAAGTGACCTCAGGAGCTCTAGTATCGCTTCTAAATAAAGCAATTCAGAAAACATCCCCTAGGAAGTTTGGATCAAGTTACTGCAGCATGCAAAGGTAGCCCATTTGCTGAGTCTGAAGTTCTAATATAATTTTCCAGTCAGATTCATGATTCAGCAACCGCAGTGCTCAATGCTAGTGCTGCAGCTGACAATTGCATGAGCTTGTCTAAATGCCAGAGGGAATTGTTTTCTTGCATCATTTAACATTTTTGCCTATTCTGCAGAATACTGAGTCTTAATGGAACAACTTCCTTTGTATGTAACATGAAACTGTTTTTCTTCTTCAGTGGAAGGAAACAAAACAGCATATCTCAGTAATTACCTTGCAATGGAATTGCTTATCATTTTATTCAAGATTCTCTACAGCAGGGCAAAATAATAAACCAGACATCTACTTGGACAAACAACAGTCCGGACTTTCTGAAGACATTAATACAACCAGAATGCTTGCTTGCCTCCACTCTAAATACAGATATAATTCACACATAATAAGTTTGCAAGAAATATGTTGGCATTTATACCAAATACAAAAAAATAATTCCCTGCAAATATAGTTTATAGCCTTCCTAGAAATCTTCCAGTCCTCATTTTGTTACTACAAACAAACAAAAAGACTGATCTGGTGCCCTTAGGGCTGAACTACCTTTCAGAACTTTAATCTGGCTTTGGATCAATAGCCTATGGCACTGAATTCAATTTGGGAGCTAGTCTGATAAACAAAATTAATTGGATGTCTAGCAGTATGCTGATTTTGTAAAAAGTCCAGAGGTTAAGGTTTCAGTTAAATCTTTCATTTTCTGTTTCACAGCTGTATCATTCTTGCCAACAAAAGTCACTGGAAGACTTCTGGGTTTGTTTAAATGTCTTACATTACCATTATTCTTTCTCCTTGTACTTCGTGCAAATGACACATAAATAGCTAATGAAAACTTATCTGATGGTGACTTCAACCCCTCCATCCCCTATATTTTACATGATGTAATTGTCCTGGCAGCAATGGATCACCTTCACTGCTACCACCTACAAAATGCCTACTCCTCACCCCAAAACACAGCTTTTCTTTTTTGCACAATTCCTCTTGTATTACTGAGGTATCTGTACAAGATGAGATCACAGTTACCGTCTGTGTGTTGAAAAACACTTCTGAAGTTTATAAGTCTTGCAAAATATTTTTTATCTTTTTAACATTTTATTAGCATTGTTCCCTCAGAAAGACAATTTAAGAACACAATACCTTAGAAAATTTTGGTTTTCCATCTTCATAGTGAATCTCCATATAATTGGATGATAACAAGTCACTGTCAAAGAAAGAATAAATAAAGATGAGAAAAATCTGAGTACTCTTTCTATTGCTATGATAGATTTGGGGGCTTTGTTAGCATTTTCAAACCATTTTTATTTTCCTTGTACATTAGTTTTAAAAAAAATCAAGCAGGTTGTGTACAGTAAATGGTTTGATGGTACACTGGAAGTCAGAGTGCAGTATACAAGGGGGAATTTCATTCTGCCATCTAATCCCCTGTATTTTAGATTTACAATTAGATTACCAGCCTTCTAAATATGCAAAAAAACAAAAATACTTTAGAACTTTCCTTGCTGACAGTAAATGTATTTTAGTTTATCACCATTTTCAAATAGCTTTTCCATTTTATCATAAAATGTAAACAGAGTGTGTGTAAGGTTGAAGTAATAAATACACCATTGTTATGAAGACAGGAGTGTATAATCACTTTCACAAACTGCAAATACTATTTTTTTTTTCTAAAAGCAATAACGTGTCTTAAAAGAAAACACACAATGCAGAACCCAAAACATACTCCATACCCTTTTTCTCATTTTGACCTTTTATTTTAAAATACCTTTCTCATTCTTATTTTCTTCCTAAGTCTGGCAAGAAAAATTTCAGAAGCACAAAAATTTTCCATAATGTGTCATTTACCATTTGGGTATTTTAAAATTAATCTTAGCCAGCCTGTACACATCCTGCAATAACCTCAGTGCCCCAGTCACATCTCACCCTGCTACAATCAGGGTTGCAGCATAATGCCCTGGGAGAGCAAAGCAATTAAAGATGTTAACTGGCCTGACCAAATATGCAAGATAAGCATTTTACTTAATGTGATCCAGAATTCTTAGCATTTTTGAAGCCTCTAATGTATACTTAAAACTAAAAAAAAAAATTAAAAAATCATTAAAAGGTCTGATACTGGTACATATATCAAAACAAAAATATCATTGCTACAAATAAAAAACACCATTATGGAAGTTTGGTGTGGCAAAATAGTTCTGATGGGAATTCATGACTAAAAACAACCTATGATAATGGGTATCTCAAACTCAGATTAGGCTATTAGCAATCCTGGTAACACTTTAACTCTGAGACTCCTGGCTCCTCAAATCAATTCTTCATGCCATATTTATCAGACATTACACTCATTAGAGAGCATCCTGCAGAAGTCAGGTACCAGTGATTCTCTCAGAACGTCTTTCTCATGAAACTGACACAGCACACTCTGGGCCTGCAAAACGAATGCTAATGGCCCTGAATAATTACTGAAGTCTAATAATTTGCCTTAAACATCACTGTGAAGGCATTATTAATTTTTTAAAGTGCAGATTTAAAAATAAATCCAGTTGCATTAAATAATACTAACTTTGTGTCATAGTAAGCTGTAAATTTTCTGCAGAAAATACAAATGTGTAAAAATAGTGTACTTGATTACAATGCAAATATTTATTTCTTCAATGTGGCGAAATTGAAGCTTCTAAAAAGGCATACATGTATAAAACAATTAGAGTGTTGATAACATACTTTTATTCTTTGCATTTTTCATACTTGTTATGAAGCATAAAGACTGTTCCCAATAGGAGATGCTACAGACAAGGCTACAGGTAACTGACATAAGTAAGAAAATTGAAATCCATAATTACAATACAAGTATTAAAAAAATATTGACAATTATTAAACACAGGAACTGTGCTCAATATGACAGGGCCCTGATCAGATTCCAACTTTTACAGACACTTCTGCTTCAATTCACAAAGGCTGTTTGGTTTCCTCAAACTAATTCCTAGATCAGCACTAATCTACCTGTTGCCAAATCAAGCTCACAGTTTCAAATGTTCTTTTTTGCCCTCTTTTAGTAACCTTATATGACTGAACTCAGAACTTCTTTCTATGCTATCTCATGCTTTTTGCATCTTGTAAGACTTGCATCAAGTGATTTTCCACTGTCTCCTGACTCACAACTAACTATAGTTTAATTACAGCATTTCTTTCAGATTTATCCTATTTTGTGTGACATAAGAGCTGCTCACAACTTTTTTAGTCTACCCTTCCAGAGTTTAGTGTTCTTTTCTTGGATTTTAGTTGAGCCTCTGTTGTAACCCACTTGGTTCCCTCATCTGCCAACCTTTTCCATTCTTTAGCTTCTCGTTACTTCCAACTGCCAATGAATTCCCAGCTGGGTTTTGTCCAAGTTCAGTGTCCCACTGATAGGATACCTAACATGGCATACTTATGATGGAAAATTCCTATATGTGTGTATATACACAAATATTACAAGTCCAAAGCAAGGAAGCAGACAGTTTCCCAGTAGACTCTACACTTTTCCCATCACTGACTTTCCAACATGCATGGTGTCTGTGTGGCAAGGTTTTGGTAGTGGAGGGGCTATCAGAGTGGCTCTCTGAGAAGCTGCTGGGAGTTTCCCCCATGTTCAACAGAGCTGGTGCCAGCCAGCTCCAAGATGGACTTTTGGCATCTGCAGGACACAAGGCACATCAGTGAAATTCTCCATGCTGAACAAATTCCCTCCACAGAGAATTAAGGCCTGCTGTTTGTGATATACTTCCCAAAGGCCGTGCTATAAACAAAATACAACTTTAATTTGTGAAGCACCCTTTTGGCAAATGCAACATAGTATTCACCACCTAGAAGGTGGAGTGGAATATCTTTTATAAGACTTTTGGATTTCACAAAATTGCTTCTCATGCACGTCTGGACTGGAGTGTTTATCACTAGTTTCTGGCCATTATTATGTTTTTAAGCTTGCCACACAGAGCCACCAAGGTCATGCAAGGGCATTTTTCTCTTAACATTTCCCTCAGGACAGCAAGAATTTTGAACACCTCATGATAGAAAAACCAGTCAGCTGCTTCTTAACCTGTATGCCTCCACTTCGACAAGTACCTGATTTTTGTCAGGTACCTTGTATCACTTTATCTCATTTCAAGTATCTGCCTACACTAGCAATAAACATCCAAAAGAACACCTCGCTTGTAATCATTAAGAAAGACAGGAAGGTACAAAAATTTGTTCTACATTTTGCTAAAACTCCAGGAATAACAACAGATGTAAAAATATACATAGAACTGCTACTGCAAATATCCCCTACAGAACTTTTACCAGTTATTAATGCTGACAAATCTGACAAAAGACATAAGAAAGTACTAAAAAAAAAAAAAAAGAATGCTTAACCAAAATAACTTTGAAACATTTTTTCCTACACAAAAGACATACACAGAAGAGCACTGTAATTTCACCAGGAGGTATGATGGGATTCTTTATGTAAGTGGCATCAAAAAAAAAGACCTAGAATACACTGATTAAGAGCTCATGTAGAAGAGCAATTGCCTGAGGAATGAGGCACAGAGCTCATGCATAAAGTAGGCAGGGGTCTCCACAGCTCAAAATAACTCTTCTTCCTTCATTATCACTTACAGAATGCCTAAATTTACCTCTGGAAGGCAAACCTGAGTTCTATAAAATACATTTGTATCTCATCTACAGTGGACTGTGTTTTGCCACATTTGATCCATTTTCAGCCATTCACATCTTGCTTAGGGCAGAAATGCATTCAGCACAGCAAATTTGAATTTCAGTATGACAAGCACCAGAAACAGTGCAAGCTTTAATTGAAATGAGTGTCAGTCATGATCACCTCAGACAAAAGTCTGTTTAGGTAGTGACACATTAGTATGATCCTTAACAATGAACATATAAAGTTACAACATATTGAATGAACTCATGACAAAATTACTTGTCTGCTGTGTCCTTTTCTACAGTTCCTTCCACCCTGCCTTTTTTATCACAAGGATAGATGGATAGAGCTGTCTTGCTCCCTGGCTCTTCTATCTGAGTTACACTGAAAAAAGCAAAATAAGCAGCAAAGGGATATGCCATTCCCTGTAGCTGCTGCCTTTGAAGCCATAAGCCAGCTGTTATAGCAAGCAGCAGATGCTTTCTGAAGAACTCACAACCACTTCCATGGCATGTACTTCACTGCTGATGTTTTCATTAGCAGGAGAGCTGCAGAGTAAAAGTGGCTTACCTCAGCTGGCATCTAAAAATCCTGATGAAGAGAATTGATTTGGGTAGGAAAAGGCTATGAAATTACTGAAAGATATCATATACAAGTAAGCAAATTACCTTCCAGCAACCCACTAGACAGCCTACAGAAAATCAGAGTACAGCAAGAATTACCTTTCTTGCACACTTCTTAAACTATCTTTATACTAACCTATTACCAGGCAATATTTTATTAACTATTCTGAAATGTTTCAAGCTCAGTACCAGTGTCTGAGCAACCTAGTTTAGTTGAATTATTTAACAGAACACTCATCAGATGTTTTTGTCCATTTGACAGATGTAGTTTAGTAGCACATAAAGATGGGAAAAACAAAGAGAACTTGCTGCAGTATTGTTTTAAGACGATCAAGACACTGTCATCTAACACAATGCCCATCTACAGCCCTGTATATATTAACAGTTTCAATTATATTCACAAGCTTTGTTGAACTCACTGTTTTAAGGTAAATTTATTACATTTCTAGCATGCATTTACATTAGTCTTTACTTGACTGGTGTCTTTGAAGCTGCTCCGACAAGAATGTCTCCAATGAATAAATAAACTGCTAATATTCATTATTTTTTAAAACAGAACACAGCTTTACCACTTTTTCTTATATTATATTTAAGAAGCTTAAAAATCAGAACATGGTACTGTGGAACAAGCAATTGTGTTTACAAGTAATTAGCAGAAAAAACTGATGATGCAAATGCATAGGTTAACGTTTTCATAACGATGGAATCAAAGAAAATCCTCACTCCCGCTATTAATAGCATAATGATTCTGTAACAGTAAACAGTACACTTATTTAAAAATCACTTTTTGCATGGTCTTGCTGTAGTTGCTTGGTTTTGCTTCGCTTGTCTTTTAGGTAGAAAAAAGGATGACCAACCACAAATTTATAAACTGAAATTATCTAGGTGATCCTCAAATGCGGAATATAGGTC